TCTGTGACAATAAACAATTATGACTTAGTTGCTTACTACTGTAGGAAATCTGTTGAACACGGCGGAAGCTGCATATTTGTGCGTTCTGGTATCAAAGCAGTAAGCAGGCAAGATTACATTGACCTGTCTCATCAACAAATCTTTGACGTAAGTGCCATCGAAATTTTAAACGAAAACCTTATCACCGTCGGGATATACCATTCTAACCTAACGAGTATATGGGAGTACTTAAGACTTTTCGAAGAGTTACTAATTAAAATTAATAATGACGGCTTCGATGCTGTTATTATGGGGGACACGAATATTGACATGCTAGTAAATTCCTCCTATAAGAAATCGCTAAGTGATATACTAACAGCGCACAACTTCGTGCAATTCATAAATTTTCCAACCCGCGAGTTGGGCGTCAGTTCTACATTGCTCGATCATGCCTACTCTAACATCCCGAGCGACTGTGTGTCAGCCGCTAGCGTTAACACTCATTTGAGCGATCATATGGCGCAAAGACTGTGTGTCACTCGTTCCGTTCGAGGCGAAGACACCATTGACTGAAAGGGTCTTTAGCAGGGCCAATAAAATAAATTTTTGCACTGCTCTTGAATCACTTGACTGGGTGGAGTTTGTGTCAAATTACTATGAGGACTGTAACAATTTCATAGACGCGTTTATACGTATTTTAACTAACAAATTTAACACAAGTTTTCTTAAAAAAAACTTAGTCGAAAAACTACGAAATCCCCGTGGGTGGACACTGACGTCATTAAAATAAAAATGTTACTATTTGACCTAATGTACCTAAAGAATAAGTTTCCTTTCAACACTGATTTGATAACATTTGCTGATGACTTATCCGTGCGATACTGTAGCTTAATAAAACATTAAAATATACACTCAACACAAGAGTAAATGCATGTGGCAAGTAATAAACTCAGAGCTCGGCAGGACGAGTAACAACCTTATCGATTACACAGACTTAGTCAAAGACCTTAACGGTCTACCGTACGTCTCCAAACATCAATTAGTCGACGCGTTAAATAAGGAATTTATAACAGCGGCGACACTCTGCGGCGCCGCCCCTGCACCTGACACCCGGAGCGCAATGTTAACATTGTCAGATTTCGCATCGGCCTGCGATAGTTCCTTACGACTTGTACCCTTTACTCCAAATGAAGTGGAAAATATTCTAACTGTACACATTGCCCCAAAAAATAGTACTGACGTGTATGATATTTCAGTAGGAGTATTAAGGTTTGCATGTACATCTTTATACCGGATCGTATCCCAACTATTTAACTGCTGCCTAAAGCAAGGAATGTTCCCACTCGCACTGAAAAAAGTGAACTTATCACCGCTCTATAAAAGTAAAGGTTCACGGGCAGCCATAAAGTCCTACAGACCTATTTCACTAGTCTCAGCGATTAGTAAAATATTAGAGGTAAGGATTAATAAAAGATTATTGTCCTTTTGGATACCACGCAACGTCTTGTCAGATAGACAATAGGCAGGGCAAGTCTACTAACGACCTAGTGCCCGTGAGGCTGCGCAGCATGTTGCTGTAGTGTGTCGTGACCTCTCGCGCGCTTTTGACACAGCCAACCATTCTCTTGTCTCTAAAAAACTACAGCATTACGGAATACGCGGACCGGCGCTTGAACTATTGGTTTCATTCATGAGTGAAAGAACGCAGATTGTAGTCGGAGAGAGTGGGCGTATAAAATCGTTTGAAATGCAAAATTTACTAGGCGTACCTCAAGGCTCTTGCCTGTCTAACACCTTATCTAGTATCCTTTTAAATGACCTTCCTTAAGCGATCGAAGGGACTGATATTTTTATGTACGCTGATGACGTCACCGCAGTTGTCACTGCGACTAACTTGCATGACTTGGAGAGTAACCTCTGCGTCGTAGTTCAGCGACTATGTTCGTGGTTCCATTCGAATGGACTGGCCCTAAATAAAGAGAAAACGTGTTTTATGCGCTTCAGCCTTAATGGTCACTCCCCACAGGCAGTAGTGGTTAGCGTGGGTGACTCTAGCATTAAGCAGGTGACATGTACTCGACTGTTAGGATTTACAATCGACAGTGGGCTCAGATGGGACACACATATCGAGGAACTGTGTACCAGACTAGGCAGAGCGTGTTTTGCATTGCGTCGTCTTGCGAACACTGCGACCGGAGGCGTCGTTAGAACATGCTACTTCGCCATAGTGCACTGCGTTCTAACATATGGAACGGAGCTGTGGGCAAACACTGCCGATTGGCACAGAGTATTCGTACTTCAAAGGCGTGCGGTTCGTGCAATAGCGAGAGTCCCTGATGTATCGGCGCGTGACTATTTAAAAAAATACCAAATGATGACCCTTCCCGGCCTACTAATACAGCAAATAGCTACCTATGTCCATAACAACTTAGAAAAGTTTCAGCGTAATGGGATTAACTCGAGGTATGCACTACGCAGCAACACACACTTTAACGACCTTAAAAAGATTCCGTCGAAATTAACCAAGTCAGAACAATCTGTCTACGTAATAGGAGCATTAGTATACAATAAGATACCGTATGACATCAAGGATGCAGCTTCACCGTTTAGTTTTAAGGTTAAGTTGAAGAAGTGGCTACTAGAAGAACAATTCTATGACTTTAAAGAATTCTTTCTCTTCTTATTTCGTAAAATCAAACGCCACCATGTAATTTTTATCGTATCATGATTTATCTTTGATTATTTGACATTGTACTCATTTTATTGATAGTTTTATTTTTATGACATGTAATATTATGTAAATGTGACTTATAATGTATTGTAAATGGAATGCTACGTACTGGTTTATTTTAAAATTAATCGTGAATAACACGATCACTGACTTGAAATGTAATATTAACGTAATGTCCATTTTACAAATGTTGAATGGTATTGATAACTGACTTGTAACATATAATATTGTTACCAATCAATAATTTCATTTCATTTCATTTTTATAATATCGACTCATCCGTAGAAGATCAATGATTTATGTGCAAGTCTAATGTTCTCAGGACATGTACATTTCGTTCGTTCTTCGCTGTGGATGTCACGTCGACCGTTGTTCGATTTTATATTTCCGAAACGAAATAAGTTATATAAATTCTCAAAACATCTTCATCTTAGTTTGAATAACGAAATTATTCACGTAACGCACTTATTCTCTTTTCGCTACATAATCGTAGCGGACTCTGTTCTTCGGATGAGTCGATATATCTATACGGCACGACAGAGCGTCAGTATTAATCGTTATGGAAATTTATTGGAACACAGTGATATTAAAGCCGCAGTTGTACTCGGAGCTCCACCTTCAACGTGCACCAGCGATGTTATAACATTTCTTTGTATTATTCATGATTTTTCTCGTTATTAAACCTTGAGAAGCAATAGACTACTTGCATACATGTTATTCTAGTTTGTAGTATAACACGTAGGTGCTACTACCCGTAGTAGCGTGTTATCTACGAGACCTTTGCAGGTTACAGTTCCCGCATTTTTACCGCGTTCTTACAACAAATAGTATTGCAATTTATTGTAATATACATGCATTTATGCAGTTGGAATGTTGTTGGAATAAAGCTCTACTAAAATAAAGGTTTTAGTTATGAATAAAAAAAATTATTCGTCGTGTATTTTTTTATTTCATTGTATAAAAGACAGAAAAATTGGATGCTTTTTTAATGCACTTCAAATTGGGCTTTGTTATTGTTCAAAAATACTTCCTTTGTGTAAAAAGCTAACACAATTAGACCCTGGAACTATGGCACTAGTATCAACGTTTGATATCAATGTTCGTAAAGTTCGATGAGTAAAACCAGTTTTTTAAAATTCCATGAGCAAGTCACGGGTCCTTCAAAATATCAATCTGCAAACCTTGTGACCTAGACAAAAACCAAGTGACATTCCATTCACTTCATTCTGTCACTTAAAAACAATTTGAACTGGCGTAGACACACTAACATATTTGTATCTCTTAAATCGAGTGGTCATTATTAAAATAACATATAACGCACTATTCATACACAATGTTTGAGTTATTGTTATTACCGAACAACTACCTAACCTCTTGTTGTTATTCTGTTGTTGCGTCACGCACACTAGCAAGCATGCAATACTGCCTATTGTTAGTTGAAAGGGCGCATGTGACATTTATACAAAAATGTTGTTACCTATTTATACGATTACTATTTCCTTAATGGCGGTCATTAGTCGTAGGTCAGTGCCAATTTCGTTATTTATATTGCCGTGATCAGTAAAAAAAGGCCCATCTGTCACTATTTTTATTTATTACTAGGCGGATTAAGCAAGAGAAGGGCAGATATTTTTTTTATTTAATTTCTTTAATTACTATTTTCTCAGTTTTGAGTTTTTGTCACAAACGCCCTTTCAACTAACGGCGGCAGAATAGCAATAAGCATTAGAGAAAAATGACGCTATTCAAATGGTTTAACGATGCTACGACTTGCAATCTTACGGTTATAATCTTTCAGAGCGTATATAGCTTTCTCATTTTTTATTTTATTGTTATCTATTATCTTATTATAACTAAAAGAATTTATTATAACTAGAACTCACATATTGGAAACTACGATTTTGTGCTTTATGCAAATGAAATAATATCGATTTTGATATTTGATATCGACAGGCTCAACAACAATCAACATTTGATATCAACATAACTCAATTTAACTACAACTGGTGCCAAAAACGGCCAATTTGTTTTTGGTTTATTGGTGAAATGGTTGTGGTCAACAGCAACAATAATATTATAACAGTAACAGATTTGTTTTCACTGACTCAACGCGACACGATTTTTTGTGTTTTGTATGTAACTCTGTGTTAATTGCTTTTTTACTCTTGTACCATAATAATCAGAGTTAGCAAAAAAGTGATCTTCACTATCATTGTCATATGGTATGATTGTTGTATGTAAAGCTACATAACAACAGAATAACAAGCTAACCGACAACAGTTTATAATAACAGTTATTGAAAAATAACATAGCAGTATAATTCATTATTGACAAGTAGCTGTTATTGCCATCTCTACTCTTGAATATAAATTTTATATCTTTTGTAAAAATGCCGAAGGATCCCTTACCATACGCCCCGCCGCGCCAGTGAGCGCTGGGCATAAAGGTTCTAAGTGGCATTAAACCTAAAGAATGACATTACACACAATTGGTGTCATTTGTTGCGAGCTCCTGATTTATGAATTAATGTATCATATGAACTATCCAATTTTTCATTTCTGTTTTGACATACATCAATTAAGTCTACATTCATTCTTAATTCATATAAAAGGAAAAGCTTCAAGATATCCGTAAGACGTCTAAAATAACTTTTACAGATTATATAACAGTGTCTTTATTCAGAATACAATATTGAGATTTATTCACGACACGTTATTGTTTTTAATTAACCACAATTATGTCAAATTTTGACACGTCAAAAACATTAAATATAAAAACTAACATACATTTCCCAAATTTCTTCTCACGTGTTCCATTCGTTCGCGTCTGCGTTCACAAATTACACACAAAAATACTACAAGAAACATACCATAACTAACAAATTTTAAAGGTATACTAACAAGGGTGTGTACAGATAGTCTGGATTCCAACAGCAAAATAGCGCAGTTCGCTTACGTTGGCACAACTGGATTAGAACTGCTAAATGCGTGTTCTAGAGAGAGAATATCACCGTTGAGCGTACTGCCCAGACAACAAGTGCGTATTGCAAGCGAACTTTAAAAAAATTGCAATTTTACAACTGACGTTCTGTACACGAGGAATATCGTTTTCAGTATTGTCATTCTGAGTAAAGTCGGTGATGTGGTCTGCGATGGCTAAAAGGCATCTTCTTCTGGAATGATACGCCACGAGGTTGCTCTTGCTTCTTAGGCAAATTTGTTATTTCTGAATTTACTAATTGATCCAAAGTCTAAAAACAAAAATTTACATCTATACATTAATACTATGATAGACACATCCAAAACTTAAACCATCAAAACAATAAATAACAATAATAAATAACGCACACTCCTATAGCCCCAAATAAGGGTAACCTTGTAACAATCAACAAATTACACCCAAATTCACGAGGGAAGTAAATGTAGACCATACATATATTTCTCCCAGCCAGGAAATCGAACCCGGGACCTCTTCTTGGCAGTCCATCATGGTAGCCGCTCAGCTACAGAGGCAGTTAAAACAATGAGCTTATATATGACTGCCTCAAAATATAATAATAATATATATACAGAGGTTTTTGTAAAATACCAACAACCTCGCAGGCCTATATTACTAACATCGTAAACAACAACTTTTGTTCTATGACTTTTAATAATTAGTCAGATTTTACTTTCATTCAAAAATAAGTTTATTTAAATAGATCGCTCTAAACGGAGCTCTGTGCAGGACAGATGGGAATCGTCGCGGAGGACGCTTGCGCGTTTGAACTTACCTTACTGCAAAATACAGATCTAAAAAACATCAGATAGCATAACAAAAACTTAAAAGTTTGCGTAAATTTATTATGTTTTGAAAAAATTCATGGAACAAAAGTTGTTGTTTATGTTTGTTGAGTAGTTCGAGGTCAATTTTGCGTTTTTGGAACTTTCGTAAGCTTTAGTTGATAAACTTTGATTTTATTTATTAAAAGCTTGAGTTAATCAATGTTACACTATTTACAATTTTTAAATTTTCAGATGTTTCTTTGCCACAAAATGTAAAAAAAAAATTGTTTCATTTTATTTTCTTATTTTAATAAAGATAGAGTTAGTAAGTACTAAGTCGATTTTAAAAGATGTTAATTGAATCGCTACTTTATGTCTAATTGCAAAATTTTATTTAAATATACTCAACGTTATTTAGGTACTACTATTTTATACAGTTTTTTATTTTTTTATTTCGCTAAATGTGCCGGTATGACTGCTCAAAGTCCCTCAAAAAAACCTTTAGTTAACGAGATAAAAGAGCGTATTTACAAATACTACATTGCACAACTAATCAATTAACAGGTCAGAGTGGTACTCGCGGCAACATGCCAGCTTACCACCAGGCTGCAAGTGCTGTATGGCTCTGAAACGCAAGAGCGAGCTCTATTCGAGCATCTTCTACGGCGTTGAGTTCGTAGTTAACATACACACGCATAGTGAACTGTCTACGAAGAATGGTATACAGTCGATGCCCTAAGATACCCGATCCCCTAGCCGATCTTTTGGTGCTGAAAGCCATCTTACGCAGCTATTTTGTTGATGAAGTTTGTATTTATGCAATGTAATTAAAGATTAAAAGCTTAAAAAGTTTCTTGAAACGTCATTCTCTAATGATGCATTGAGAAAGTTACATCAAAATTAATTTCATGAAGAGGTCAGATATCTTAGGCATAGACTGTACTTTAATGAAAAGTTACTAGTTGAACAAAAGCTGAGGCGTAATTTACACATGCACAAGGTAACTTAGCTAAAGTAAACCTATAAATACCTGTTTATCAATAAGTCCACGATCTTTCAGCGCATTTTCGATATCATCAAACTGTTTCTGTAAATCTTTATTGTTCGTTTTCGCAACTGCTTCTCGAACCATCATTACCTGCAAAACATTTCAAGAATTATAATAAGAGAATTTTTTTTTTTAAATTTGCAACTTCGCCTTAATACTAAACAGTGTTCTAACAATTTATCATCTTTATTAGCAATTTGCATAGACATAGTATATACATAAGTAGGTAGAGCTACAGCTTGACTATAATGCTGTCTTTCAGTCAATTGATTGAAGTGGTCAAGTTGTGGGTACGACGCCGATACGATGTACCTATAACCTCCTCCCCTCCACTATTCCCATTTTGTGGTAGAGTAATAATGCTACCACAACAATTTTGGAAAATATATAAAACCGCATACAGTTTCCTCAAAGAATGTATGTTTGTCTTTCTGATCTGGTCTGTCAATTTCCAAGACTTGTCTCAACACAGGTAGGGCATCATCTGCTCTTCCCATTTCTGCTAAAGCCCTTGCCTGGAACGCAAAAAGTGCATGATAAAAATACTATACTAATTCTAATTGATATTGGTAGCTGTGAGTGTTCCGGTTTAGAAGGGTAAGGGTGCTAGCGAAATTACAGTCACATGGGACTTGTCAACTTATGTATCAGGGTGGTGGATGCAGTGACAGTGCCCATAAGATCTTTGCGGTTTAAAGCTCTGAACGGCACTGCACCTGTTATCGATAGACGTGTCGCTTACCACCAGGCGCACGACTTGTTCGTCCCGTCACTTGGTATTATAAAGAAAAGAGTGAATTATATTGTAGGTAATAGATGCGTAAGAAACAAGGCAGACAGTGGCCTTGTTGTACAGTGCATATTAAGTGTATTATTCCGTATTTGTGTAATAATTTAATAACTCTACCTTTATGTTCCTCATTGTAATATAATTTTGCTTTTGTTGTGGTATACTCTCTAACGCAATGTGTGGAGCGCCTTGCTTCAAAGCCAATGCTGAAAATATTTCAAAGAAATATTAATGAAAGTAAAAACATTACATTCAATCATTTCACTAATCCCATGTTAACTCACTAATATTAACCAACTGTTCAATTGCTGCTATGCTATTCAACCAGCTTGTTGAACAAAATTTCAGGATTATTTTGTCTTGGGTACTCTTCAATCCAGAAATAAAGATGAAAAAATTAGTAGAATACAATTTTATATACCAACCAGCAAAGAAAGTACATGCTCGCCGTAGAGGGCTTGTGCCTGCACTGGCCATTTCAGACCATAGTTTAGATGCGTACTCGAAACTCTTAGGCGTATTCTACAAAAAGAAAAACTGATCTTATGCAATACGCAATAAATGAATAAACTTACAGTAAAATAAATTTGACATTGTTTTTTGAATATAATTTGAATATCTATGATAATATTTTATGCTAAGATAATGTTCAGATTTTGTGAAATGATAATGGTAAGGTTTCTTTTTAATATAAATTGTGTACTCAGTTTTTTTAATAATCAATAACAATGATCAAAATAATATGAAAACTAACACTGAAAAAGAGCAAAACTCTATTCCATTATCACTTCTTTTTTCTTAGAAATATATCGCGTATATTTGTCTTTTGAAACACACCAACATTATAGGCTATTTACAGGTCCCACAGTCACATGGAAAAAACAATTTAATTTCTAATGTGCAGCAATCATAAAAACTTAACAACTCAATATGTTTTATGATATTTATTAGCCATTGACACGCTTATGATCAGGAGAGCGAGTGGTTATCCACAAGTAAATGGTCCTGGCATTCTCCAGGTCTTGTTGTCTGCATCACTGCAGATCTCCTTGGCATGCACAGCCTTATCGATGCCTTACTTTCTCAAACTCGTATCTTATAAAGAGTGATTATTCAGGAGATGGCAAAACTTTGTATTGATTTTAAATTTCTTATCAAGGGTGTTAATTTAGATGCATTACTTTAAGAATAGGAAAAAGCCAGTGTGTAAATAGGAAGGGAATATGATGTGAAATCAGCCTGCAAAATTTGTATATACAATCCATTCTTTGCATTTGAGTAACTTTGTGCTTGAAGATATGAGTTTAAGAAAATAAGGCTATGGTCATAACTAATGCCATCATGCACATGTGACTTAATTTTATTTTATTACACATATTTTGAATTACTATATTTTATTTATACAGGCCGTCCGGCAAAGAATGGATAAGTCTGAAATGCCTTATAGTAGAGCTTATGAACGTGAAAAAAAATATATAAAGAAAAATATGTATATTCCATGTAGTACCTAAGATATATTTTTTTCTGTAAATTTAAATTATTTTCACCTTATTTTACGTTTTTGTACACCACAACTACAAATTAATTACATCCTTCGGTTTTTTGGCGTCATAATATTCTACATTAACTGTGCTAATAGAAAGGTAGTAAATAGTATGACTAACTATGGCACTTAAATTTTTAAAAAAAATTATTTTATTTTTCAGTGCAAAATTTTTTTTTTTTCACAATGTTTAAGCATCTGAGTGGCCAACTATTCTAAAATAATGTGTGGTTAAAGTAGATTTCAAAATGGTATAATTCATTATTGTATCTAATATAAATAGAAAATTATTGCTATTAATGTGCAAAAGGAGTAAAGACTAAAAATTAAGTTTTCAAAATTGGACCATTTTTTGTCATGAATTAAGCTGTACCATTGTTTAGGTTTAATAAAAAAAACAATATTAGACATAAATACAACTTTATTTACAATTTGTTTACAGCAAATGTTCAAACTGTTTGCCACCGACTCTGATGCAGGCTCTGCATCTTCAAATAAAATCCCTTTGAGTTGCCGCGTATATCGTCGTTCACTTTTTGTTGCAGCGGCTGCACTGGCACGGCTACGTAAGTCTTCGAAGGACCAGATCGGCTTACTATACACAATTTCCTTAAGGCAGCCCCAATAAAAAAAAATCCAGTACATTTAGGTCCATTGAACGCGGAGGCCATAAAATTGGCCCCAGACGACCGATCCATCTGTCTGGGTATGTTCTATTCAAATATGTTCGAACAGGGACCGCATAGTGCGCAGGACAGCCGTCATTTTGTAACCAATCGAATTCTCTCAGCTCCTCGGGCACGTCTTCCATTATAGTAGGCAGATCATTCTGGAGGAACTCCAAATAAGTTTGACCAGTTAGATTCCCCAGTAGTTCAAATGGCCCTATTACTTTTCCATTTAATATTCCCGTCCAATAATTAATTTTACACTGGTACTGTGATCTGTCATCCCGCATAAGATGGGGGTTTTGAAGTTCCCAGCTACGGAGGTTATGTAGATTTAAATAGCCATCTCTTTTAAGGGTTAAAATTCTGGAACTTTGTTAAAAAATTGCGGGTCTTCCTCTATCTTACCTAGCATTTGTCGGCAAAAACGTAATCTTGAAGCGTAATCTCTCGGTTGGAGAGTTTGCACGCATGTAACGTGGTAGGGATGGAATTTATTTTTCTTTAAAATATCATGCACAGTCGATTTTCCTATTCCCGTTACTCTCGTCGAGGTGGAAGGATCTTGCTCAATTTCCTCAAGCACTATCTCTTCGTTTCCACCACGAGGTATTCTTCCAGTGCTAGTACCACAAACACCACTACCAGGCATTCTTCCTTCTGAGTAACATGCATGGATCGATGGATGGATCGGCCGTCTGGAGCCAATTTTATGGCCTCCGCGTTCACCGGACCTAAATACACTGGATTTTTTTTATTGGCGCTGCCTGAAGGAAATTGTGTATAGTAAGCCGATCAGGTCATTGGTAGACTTACGTAGCCGTGCCAGTGCAGCTGCTGCAACAATAAGTGAACAACGATATACGCAGCTACTCAAAAGGGCTTTTATTCAAAGATGTAGAGCCTGCATCAGAGTTGGTGGCAAACAGTTTGAACATTTGCTGTAAACAAATTGTAAATAAAGTTGTATTTATGTCTAATATTGTTTTTTTTATTAAACCTCAATGGTCAAGCTTAATTCAGGACAAAAAGTGGTCCAATTTTGAAAACTCAGTTTTTAGTCAAATTTACTCCTTTTGCTCATTAATAGCAATAATTTTCTATTTATATTAGATACAATAATGAATTATACCATTTTGAAATCTGCTTTAAACACACATTATTTTAGAATGGTTGGTCACTCAGGTTATCATAATATTTTTTTGAAACAAAGATGCTTAAACTTTGTGAAAAAAAAAATTTTGCACTGAAAAATGAAATAATTTTTTTTTTTTAATTTAAGTGCCATAGTCATACTATTTACTGCCTATCTATTAGCACAGTTAATGTAGAATATTATGACGCCAAAAAACCGAAGGAATTGATTAGCTTGTAGTCATGGTGTACAAAAACGTAAAATAAGGTAAAAATAATTAAATTTAAAGAAAAAAAAAATTATATATCTTAGGTACTACCTGGGATATATTTTTCTTTACATTTTTTTTAATGTTCATAAGCTCTATTATAAGGCATTTCAGGCTTATCTATTCTTTACTGGAAACCCTGTATAATAAACACTTACTTGTTTATAGCAAGCAGCAAATATCAAAACCACAGGATATTTAGGGAATTTAGTCATATTAATTTGGCGTTCCTTTATTTTTTCAAACACATTGAACATTTCGTCATACATTTGATGGTTGTATAAGAGATCTAACAAGATTTGATATGAGATCAGTTGGTCAAAAAATCCACTATTTGCTGGGTCATTGAAACACTGTAATGAAAAAGTAAGTCAGTCACACCCATAACATCCTGAAAATTTCATATGATACTACCACAGCCATGGTTATACATAACATTGTGAGAATCAATACAATGAGATTACCATTTAAATTAAATTACTTCTCATATTTTCTGTTAGAAAAATTATTAGATCTGTCAAAGTAATAATAAATATATCAAAACCTGTCATCTTCTTATATAAGTTCATCTCAATATATCTGTATATTTGATAAATCAATTGCAATGACAATATCTTACCAGCAAAGCCTCTGTAGGTGCATCTAAAAAGTGGAACATTCTCATCACAACAGGCCCAAACACAAATGATCCAAACCTGAATTCTGTGTTTTGAGTGTTGAACCTTAAATGAAAATAAATAAAATAATCTCAGTACAGAGTACTAAAAATTCGACCTCAAAAGTTAATGGAATTACATCTATTTGCCAAGTTTTATTGAAATTGATTACCGGAAAGTGCAAGAAACCGGATTCATCCCCTAGTTAGCCACCCTTAGAGGCGAAATATTTTCTTCAAATTTAAATAGGACCAATACTGAGGTACCTTTTGTCCAACAAAAAGAGAATCATCAAAATCTGATTACAAATGCCGTGTAATATTTTGACGTAACATAGAAATTTGTATGTATGTCACATAACATACAAACAAAAAATAAAACATGCAATTGAATTAAGAATCTCCTCCTTTTTTGAAGTCGGTTAAAAAAGTAACATCGGAAACAAATATTTTACTGCAGCATAATTATTATCTGGTTACATCCAAATAATAGTATTATTTATAGGGAAGAACCATGTCTATTTTTTTTTTACTATGAGAATATCTACTTTTTAGAGAATTTTTTCTATAACAATTATAGAGTATGTTGTAAAATTATCTACAAAATATTATTGAAATCCATTTAGTTATATCAATGACGTAATTATATGAGACCAAATTTCCACAAATTTGCTTACTTCTTGATCATATTAACAACCAGTTCCAAGTCAGTAGGCTCAGCCATGTGAACCATATTCTTCAAATCTTCAGTAAACACCATGTTCTTTGGGTCAGCAACAAAATCCTTCATCTTAGATCGAAACTTATCAGCAAAGTTTGCAAACTGTTCTTTGGTCTTCTTCCTTGATTGAAGATAGCCGTCAACGCCAAGTGACGCCGGTGAATATAGACAGCATACTACACAGGAATACTTATTACATAAGCTTTAAAGTCACGTTTAAGTTCTAGTTGCTCAGACGCGTAAGCGTAATTTCAATTTGAGTTTTCGAGGGAGGTTACACATTCATCAGAGCAAGCCTTAACGTATGAACCGGTGAAAAATAAATGAGGTCCTAGGTAAGGTTGAGGTAGCACTATATGATTACATAAATCCAATATCACTTGTAAAATACATGTTTTTCTCAAAATATCAGAGAATAAGAAATATATAATTATAAAACGTAAAATCTTATTAGAAATTTACCTGGCGTGAAATGAAAAGTCCGAAGCGGAGTAAATGTACGAATATTGTATTTCAATGAGTTCCTTATTAAAGTTCGCACAATGAATGACATTTTAAATTTTTGATTTAAATATTTTCCAACAAATTACTCAACAGCCGATATTCTTTTAGGTTAGAGAAAATTGACCGACAATTTGACAGGAGACTAATATCAATTTTTTTAATTTGTTTATTTGATGGCCTGGGGGTCTAAGCATGTACTCCGTTCGGCATCCATCCTAAACAATCATTTTAATTCACGTTTTTCTAATTCAGGCTTTAACGTTTTATTTATAAAACTTTTATTTTAATGCAAGACTAATGCATTTCTATATTTTAAGCCTTTATAGTCTTATAAATGTTTAAAAAATAATTGTCAAATGTCTAATAATCTATTTCACCGACTAACTCCGTAAACGATGTTCGATAACGATATCGTACGAATCCGAATCGAACGACCAGCTCGAATGTTCTGAATAGCTCTGAAGTCGCCATTCGATTCGAAAACGATATCTAATCGATCGATTCGGTTAACATATCGAAGTGTTCTGAATCCGATTAGCTTTATGTACTCGACTCGATTTAGGTGCCTCACATTGAGGGGTATCCGAATCACCCTCTTCCGCGATTTTTCGTAGCTTTCGAGATAAGATTTTTTTAATTTTCAACCGGTTTCTTTTTTCAATAAGTAAAACATTTTGTCGGGTTTTTTTTTTGTAACTCAATCTTTATGAACTGTACTTTAACGCACAAGATAATCGGCTTCGTAACGTCAATGGAAGATGCGAAAGTTTTGACTCAAAGTGTAAAATTCGCGTTCGCGTTGAAAATTCAAGTCTGACTCTCTCGAACGCGAATTTTCCACGTTGAGTCAAAACTTTCGCAGTTGTTGTACAAATTGAAAAAAAAAATTTAAATCCGATCCGGTTGAAAAATTCAAAAAATCCATAAAAAATCATAACTCGAAAATTACGACAAATCGCGGAACATACACAGGGGTGATTTGGATACCCCTCAATGTGAGGCACATACATTTTCTTTTTGGACGTCACTATCCCTACCACCCTGTATAATAAAGTTGTTGTTGAACAATTATGTCATAAATTGCTGAAAACCGTAGAGGGAGGATGAAAACCTTTTTAATGCTTTCAAACTTATTTTTCCATCTTATTAGTTTCAACTTAGACTGTTCGGCTATGAGGATAGAAATCTATGTAAATAGTCTACGGGTTATTAAGCATATAGGATGGACAGTTATAAGCAAAGGTTTTTTTTTTTCTTATTGCTCTTGGCTTTTCGCGGTAAGCGTTTCAGCCACAGACTATTAGATGCTAACGCATGGTTTGACTTATCATGGTTTCAGCCAACTATAAGATAACCAACGACAGGTCTTTTTTATTTTGTGCACACAAGGATTTAAAAAATCTACTAACTGATTGCTTGACTTGACAAAAACATTGGTCGGAACTACTTAAAACATTAGACTATGGAAATTTCCATCCTGTAAGTTTAAAGCCCAGCAAGTAACTTTATTATGTACAATAACAAAGATCTTATTTAAAAAAAGGTATAATAATTAATAAAAATGCTTAATATTTTTATTATTTATATGTACATGACTTGAGAAATGGTAACACTGATTTGTTCAGCTGTCAGCAGCTCTCGAACTCGCGTGTTTTTTGGTTGAATTAAAAATGTTAAAATGATAAAAACAAGCACTAGAAAAATCAATGTTTCTTGCTTTAGAGTGTACTTTCCAAACTTGTGGTGTGTTATATAATAACATGGAATATTTTCTGTGAATAAAATACGAAGTGGTAATGATATTCTCTACAAGTGATTTAGTGAAAAATATATTGGATCAAATTGTGATATTCACAGAAATAATTCCAAATACGTGCACCGCAGGGTGTACAGTTGGTATTTTTATATAATACAAATGAACCTTTTACCACCTAATATTTTTGTCTGTTTTCAAAGGAGATGAGTTTAATGTTGCCTAGTGGGCCACACCTTAAGATAGACAATGTCACAAAATTGTTTATAATAATAGAACTTTGCGTCATATACGGTCAACAGCATATCAAACTACACACTGACGTATCTTGTTCCGTTGCACGGGAGGTGATTTTGGAACAAAAATGTGTAGTCTGAGTGCTGTTGTTTATACATAATGCCCAAGTTTCTAATTTAAAAAAAGTAATGATTTGGATAACTTAACTTGTAAGTGGACATACAACTGGCAGAAGTTGAGACTGCATTTGCTCTGTCTCTCTTGATTGGTACAGTAGTCATAATCTGAAAGAAGTGAGACAGAACAAAGTACAATGGCTCTAGTTAACTTCTGCAAGTTGTAATTACAGACAATAATATTAGTGTTTATTTACAGAATTTTCAATTAATGGTGCCGTTAACATGAATTTGATATGTCAATTTTGCATACTATTTGTATGTTATATAACTTCTGTGCACTTAGTTGTAAATTAGCCTCTAATCAGAGGATAATTAAATTGTTGTGCAGGATTGAGAACAATTTTGAAGGTATTCTATATTCCAAATTACTTTGCGGACACCTGCCCGTTACACCAAGTACTTTTGGGTCTGGTTTCAAGATTCTATACTTTGCTAGAAATTGAAAATGAATCAAACCTCTTAGTGAAATGTATTTGTAGTTGCTGATTGGTTTATACATTGAGTGCAAATTGAGTCTGATAAACTTGTTAATGACTGAAAATGTAAATTGTTTTCATGTGAAAAATACCATACATTAACACTTATTTGTATAGAAAATTTAGATTTATAAATGTAACTTTCATTAGCTACTAAATATTTTAATCTCTTTAATTTTCAAAATTCATGGAAATGGCAATTTGATGTAAAATGTACCACAAATTACAAATTTGTTTGTTGCTTAATTGAATACAAAAACCTTGGAGCATTTGGATGAGTATTTATTAATATTATAATATTTTAAATTGATCCAATTATGTATGTTAATTCTTGTAAGTTGATTAATATAATTTTGTTTCTTATGTTCTTCTAGCTCAAAAAGCTTGAAAGGCAATACAAAACCATGGATGGTAAAGTAAAATGAGGAAATCACTCACAAATGAGTGGAATATGTTGAGAATGAGGATACTATATGGATAACTAGGATAAGTCAGACTGAGCGGTTAAGTGCAACAGAAAACTGCTCACTGAGTAATGTTCGAAAATGCAGAGGGTAGAAATGTAATCATTGACATAGTTTAACAAATAATAGATACCCCACCAATTTCATGAGAATTTTTTTACTATTTGTAATCTAGACAATTTCAACCTCTTTCTCATGAAAGTGGAAAAAGCTTTCAATAAAATACAGCATTGAAAAAGTTGAAAAGAGATTTTATTGACTAGTTGTTGCAACCAAATTGATCTTTTCATAATAAAATTTCTATATTGTATGGATTCTAATCCTATGTGTCTTTACAGATGCTGCAAAATAGCTAAAAATATAGAGCAAATTCTAACAATTGAGTTACAGAAATGTCGGTAAGTCACAGGCATACAAAAAGCAGCTCCTATAGGGAGTACAAAAGGGAAAAAACTGATAAATCCAGAACACGATATTACAGAGAGAAAACCAAAAGGGTTGATGTAGAACCAAAAACACCTCCACTACTTACAAGAAGAGCCAGTATTGAAGATTTATTCAAGCAAAGAGAATCTCTTAGGCAAGAGCTAAAAAAAATTGCAAAAAATTCAGAAAGTGATTTAAAAAGCAAACATAAATCAAGCAGATATAAGCAGTCCCAATCTCAGCATTCAAAAGCTGGACCATGTATGGAAAAACAGTCACGAAAAAGGCGAGGCAGCAGCAATATCGACTCAATGATAGAAAAAAAGAAACATGTTATTACTGAACCAGTGTTAGAACCTTATGGAGATCACACCCTAGCTGATTCCGAAGATGAAGAAACTATTATCGAACAAAGAAGGCAACAGCGCAAATTACTACTCGAAAAATTGAGCATGCGACGAAAAGACAGATTTGAGCAAAACTACAGAGACAACATCAATACATCAAATGTTAATAGTGATGACAAGGATATTAGCGAAAGTAGTCAAAACTCAACTTTTATGAAGAAAACCAAAGCTTCAGTGAAAGAAATACCTGATATGTTTTCAGAGATAGATTACTTTAATCCAGATAATAAACCAGATCAGGTGACACAAGACAATACTGAAACAAATAGTGCACAGTTAACTGACAATTGGGATGATCCTGATGGTTATTATAACATCAAAGTTGGAGATAAAATAAATAAAGATGGATATGTAATTAAAAATATACTGGGTCAAGGTGTGTTTGCTAATGTGGTGCGCGCAATCAATAAAAGTAACAACACTGAAGTGGCGATAAAAATCATAAGAAACAATGATCTTATGTACAAAACTGGTCTAAAAGAAGTGTTGATTTTAAAACAAATAGCAGAAGCTGATCCCGAAAATAAATACCACTGCATAAAATTCACAACACATTTTATGCACAAAAGCCACCTTTGCATTGTCCTGGAGTCGCTCTGTATGGACTTACGATGCATTTTGAAGAGATATGGAAAACATGGCCTTAATATGAAAGCCTTAGCAAGCTATAGTCGGCAGTTACTTATAGCACTAAGATTTTTGAAGAAAATTGGTATAATCCACGGTGATGTTAAGCCAGACAACATCTTAGTTAATGAAAAGAAAAACGTTTTGAAGTTGTGCGATTTTGGCTCCGCAGCAAATGCAGATGACAGTGAAGCAACGCCGTATATGGTTTCCAGATTCTATAGAGCCCCTGAGATCATACTCGGCATACCCTACCAACATAGCATTGACGTTTGGTCTGCTGCTTGTACTATTTTCGAAATGGCGACCGGCAAAATAATGTTTGCCGGGAGTTCTAACAATAAAATGCTGAAATGTTTCATGGACATGAAAGGAAAATTCCCCACTAAAATGATACGAAAAGGGAGATTTAAGGACCAGCATTTCAATTTCAAAAACAATTTTATCCTCCACAAACGGGACGAGTTCTCTGGCCGAGAAAAATATACTGAAGTGAGTAATGTTATTATTACCAGAGACCTTCAAAAAGAACTGAATACGTATTGCAAATGTGCACATGAAAATGAAGAAAAAAAGGTGGGTCAACTAAAAGATATGTTAGATAAAATGATTATTTATGATGTACATCAAAGATACACAGCAACTGATTGCTTGACACATCCATTTATTCAAGAACCACTAGAAAAATAAATGAAATTAATTTATTCTTCTGCAATAAATTTATTATATTTCACATTTGTTTTATTAATATGAAGGTATACAAATAATACACAATTTGAAAGTATTACTTTATTAGTACCCTAAAAGACAAACAACAAAATTATACGCCATCAACCTAAATATCACGTTAAACTTAAGTTTTCAGGTGCTCAAAATATTATCACAATTAAAAAGGAAAATTGACAGTCGTCAGTTTTAAATCTTGAGAAAATGTAGACAATTGACAAGTGCTTAAGCTAAACTGTTTGATTTCCTGGTTGGATTATTACAAACGTAATGAGATTCTTTAGTACTAGTTACTGCATATCTAACTTCAAAATAATTCTCATATTGCAAATATAAAACTGCATTTTGATAGATTACATCTACAAGCAATAATAAACTTAGTACATGTAGACATTTATATATTATTTCTAACTTTATTTCTTTTCATAATTCTATCTCTGAGAAATTCTTATCAACCTCTATAGTTTTGCTATAACTAATTATAATACATAAATCTTTTTTGCGGTTACCAAGAACCATTGAAGAGAAAAAAATATAAATTAATAACAAAGTATAAAAATAAGTAGGTATACCATCACAGTACAATAAGACAACTATTCAAAAGAAATCAATTGCTGTCAATCACACTAAACTTAGCTCATTCTAGAAAATCTACACTTACGTACAACAAAGCATCGTAACACATCCGATTACATATGAAGCGGACAATCAGATTTTTTTTTTACGGTACTAAGACTTCTTTCACGTGACAAGCATTTTGGGGCTGCAGTACGCTCTATATTAGACACATCACATTAATCACATCATAAAATGATGATTCTTAAAAAAAGCACTGACAGTAGGATTGACATTAAGATTACAAAACAATTAATCTAGATAGGTTCTTCCACTTACCGCTAACCGCGAAAAGCCAATAAAAATGAGAAACAAAAGCTACGCTCTTGTCGGTGAAGCAATCGCTAGCCTTTTCTGTTCAGCACCCTAAATAGGTTATGCTAAATCAGTAGGCACAATTTAAAAACGCTTACCAACGGCTTGTCATGTGAACGTAGCCTAAATTAAATATAGCGTCAATACCGTTTCCTTTTTTTCAGATGTCCTGAATGTAAGTCTCACATTTTAATTGAAAACAAAATATGCAATAGTAAACGTAAAAGATAGCTCCATAAACATAATAAAACTGCTTTGATTCATGTGCTGAAACTATCTCATAATAACTTTAGATCAAAGAATATAAATTATCAGAAAAGTATTTTGCTCCATAACAAACCAAATTAATAACTACAGTGAAGATTGCTTTATATCTGATAATATTCATTTGAGATATGTTAAATTCAATGAGGTAGGGCAAATACCAAATCAAGTATTCTGAAAATATTTGGCATCATTAATTATCACAATCGGGTAACTACGAAATAATTAGTTACCAGTCTAATAAAATTTTGTTATCAATGAAAATGCTGAAAATCCAAGTTGATATCATAATGAATAAAATTTTCAAATAAAAACGGTTCTACCCTCCTACATACATACACACGTACATACCTCCAATCTGTGTAAAATTTTAAAATCCAAAAATAACAACGCAAGACAAGTGTCTACTGTCACAGCAAAGTTTAAATATTACAATCTTTAAGTAGCCAAGGTTACTGTTGCACACTTTTCTACCCTCAAACTAAATTGAGAAGGTTAAAAATAAGGTTAAACCTGAAAAAATAGTTTCATTTCCTAGGTTAAAAATAATTATGCTACCATCCTAAGAACTGTTTTCGACTTGTTTCTACATGAAAATGTATTTATATTCGAGAAAATCTTAGAAAAAAGGGGCATCTGCCCAACTACATTCGATATTATGATCACTAGATGGCGCTACCAGTACAACTGATAGCTAACCTCCTGCAAGCTGACATTTTAAAATGGTACAAAGTACTATTAAAATTCTCGTCCTTTGGGACGGGCTAAGGCGTCTGAATCATACTGCCAGATATAAATTTTTTCTTTTTTAGAATCACTTTAAAACATTTTGAACATTGCTTGTTTTGTTTATTAGTGGCGATTATTTGACAAACATATGGTACTCATATTTTTTCCTCGTTTATTATTCATATTGAAACAGAAAAAACACCCATTGTGTTTCTCATAAAAATGTTAATACAAGTTAGTTTCTTAGGATTAGCATTGCTACCTTTTCAAACAAATATAATACATAGTGAAAAGGTTTTCAGACACAATTAAAGAAATGAGAAATGTACATAGCAAACTTTACCGAATACTAGCTATAATATAATCTAATGTCTGTGTAATTTTTATGGATGGATCCATTTCATAAAACTATATTAAAGCGGAAATGGGATGTAATGCAGTCTCAAGTTATACGATTTGATCACTGGCTCTATCTGTCACAAACCATGGTACATTAAAGTATACATTACTCGAGTAATAAGAGATTCTTTGAAGAAAATAATATCGGATACCTAGTTGTTATGTAAAGACTATACTACGACGTAATTCTATAGGTATATTAGTATCTTTGGATATCGAGTTTTATATCGCTGTGTAGTCTTCGGATACTTTTACATATCTTGTTATGTTGATTGCATGTGCTGAGTGTGGAAACCTGGTGCACCAATTTCTATCGATTGTCCCGACGCTATGGAGTCGGGGCTTTGGAGTGACGCGCTATATACAGGGTTCATGGGAGTAGTCCCCCCCGCTTCGAACAAAGTGCTGTCGTATACGCTGTTACTCTGCTGGAAAAAATACAGCGATTAGTTTGTTGAAAGATTCTCATTCGGACATTCTCCACATCTGTCGCATGTCACGCGAACTTCAGGCATATATTAGTTTCACAAATTTGGGCGGAGCCAACGTCAAAACTTTTTTGGCATGCTCCCTCTTAATATTGTGGTAGTGATCAAATAACTCGTTGCTATTTGGCCCGCCCCGGTGTCGGTGAACAATAAATGAATTACGGCTCACTCATTAAACTTTTTAGGCACCCTTGGTTTAATATGTGAATGACAGAAATTATAATCCAATTCAGAATCACCGCAAACGCCTGATGAAATATGTTTAACTTTTAATATGTATATACTAATATGCCATTTATATAAAAATAACAGGACGCTAGCAAACTCATACCTAATTCCTATTATACATAAAACTACGAACACAGTTGTCAGTAAATGACCGCTCTATTTACATAGGAGTGTGGTGATTATTCTTCACACGTTGGCATGATGTGTTGACTGATTCCTGATTTTACACGATTAAATAATTAATTGACTTAGGGTCGTATTCCAGAACTGTACTCAATGCTCAAGTCAGGATTTGAGCAGACTTGAGTATGATTTCAAGCACTGGAAATACGACCCTAATGGCAAGGACTTGAGTATGATTTTCAGTGCTCACTGCAATACTCAAGTCCTGACTTGAGTATTGAGTAGAGTTCTAGAATACGACTCTCAGGGTTACTTTGCGGAAATCCATGTTAATAAAAATGGAAGTACGCACGATTTAACCTTTACTGGGTTAGCAGAGTAGCAAAGTCATTTCCTTCCATGATTATATATATAGCTATTAGTTTAAGAGTCGTATTCTAGAACTCTACTCAATACTCAAGTCAGGACTTGAGTATTGCAGTGAGCACTGAAAATCATACTCAAGTCCCTACCTTTAGGGTCGTATTTCCAGTGCAATCCTGACTTGAGCATTGAGTAGAGTTCTAAAATACGACCCTAAGACTTACTGATAGAAATAGAACGCATACTTCCCGATATGGTAAAAAAAAACATATTTATATCGTTGTACGGGGATACGTTCCAAAGCAAAGAATCATATATGAGAGGACCTGAATGTGGAAAATATAAACGAATGATCAACGGCCTGCAAAAACATAATATATGGCGGGAATATTTGTACATTTTTATGAGGTACGCCCTGGACAATTTCCGCCGGAATGAAAAAATGTTCGAAATACAAATAAACAAGATGGCCGCCATACAAAATTCAAAGTCGTTTTCACGGAGACTATTAGAGATAGGTAGGAGGTGCTCGAAGGAATGTCAAAGAGGGTGACACTGGTCAACTGCCTGGGTTAAAAAATTCAAAATGGCGGCCGACGAAAAACTTGGTTCGATCCGGCTGAAAATTGGCAATAATTTGGGGTCAAGGTTTTTTCGCCACATTTTATCAAGGCTGCCATATAGGTATATAAACGTTTTGCTTGATTAAAAATAGCTGCCGATGGAGATTTGCTCTGATTCGGATAAAAATTGGTATGTGGAGGCCTCTAGAAGTGCCGGGTAATAATTTGTGGTCAAAATTTGTTTTTCGCCATTTTCAAATATGGCCGCCATAGAAGCCTTCGTTGACGGCAGAAAAAAAATTACTCTGATCCCTTTGAAAATTGACATATGGGGTCTCTAGGAGTATTTGATAATAATTTATAATTTAAATAGGTTTTTCGCCATTTTCAAACATGGCTGTCAAACAAGCGTTTATAAAAATTTCTATAATTCAACTGAAAATCGGCATGTGAAGGTCTCTATAGGTGTTAGATAATAATTTGTTGTCAAAATTTATTTTTCGCCCTTTTTCAATATGGCTGTCATACAAACTATTTTAGCGGCAGACAAAAAATTGCTCTAATTCGACTGAAAATCGGCATATCGGGGTTTCTATGAGTGTTTAATAATTATTTACGGTCAAAACTTATTTTTCGCTATTTCTCAATATAGCTGCTATAATTATGATCTTTTCTTCTAAGAAAAAATTCTTCTAATTCGACTGAAAATGGCATGACTTTAATCACAATTTGGGGTGAACATTTTGTTTCCGCCGTTTTTAGATATAGCCGCCGCACAAGGGTTCGTTTTTTTATGTAAAGTGCTGTTGAAAAATTTGTTTTGATTCGGCAGAAAATTGGCACGAAATGATTGTCTGATAATAATTAGTGGTCAAAATATATTTTTGCAATTTTTTTTAATATGGTTGCCATTAAAGACCTATTTTAATTGTTTAAAACTAAGTCATAAGTGCCGAAGCCGTAGGCCGAGGTCCGCAGAGGGCGAAGCCCGAAGTGTCCACGCCATCGTACGGACGTAATTTTTGGACGCATAACAGATTACGAGTACAAGATCTCACAATTGTAAAAATGTAAGGCATACTTCCCGAGGTACTGGAAATGAGATACGTATAATAGCGTTGTTGTATCTCGACTAGTGTTGTAACTTGAAAAAAAAACCAAATGTATATTTTCACATTTAAAGAAACAGCGCCCTGGTTCTTTTTTCTAAATGAAATTTTTTTTTTTTTTTCAGAAAAAGTAAAATGGAATAACCCACAAAATTCCCCGAAAAGAAATTCCCCGCAATTTGGGGAATTCGCCACAAATTGACAACACTATGAGTGTTGCCCAGTTATTTTGAGCAATTTATCTAAGAAGAAGAAGAATGAATTTATCTATGAATATTTACAAAAGAGGAAATGTAGTAAAAAATACAATTCTCATATTTTTATTTTCATACTTTTACAAGAAAAAACTTACTCCAGAAAAAAACGGTTTCTTTTCATGTTTTTTTTTCATTCTTTTTTCTCACTTCAGAAAAGAACGGTTTTTAATAACATTAATCTCGACCGTCCCTCTGTTTGATTCCTTTTTTTTTTTTTTTGAAGCTATGCCAAAGAGAAGTATTTAGGGGGTAAAAAAGGCCAAACTTCTGACGAATTTCCTGTACTATGAATACCAGAATAACGATAAATCTGAGGGCAATACTCAGAATACTCAGACAAAAAAAACTTGGAAAAGTTCGTTTCTTAAATTGGCCCAAATCGAGAATCGAACCTCCTCATCGAGCACCCATAGTACTAACCGCTGTGCGGCCGTAGAGCATGAGCACACCCCATAATCTGAACCCAACCACGCGCCGCAGGCCGAGCCAGACCCCACTGTAGTTGGGGTACAGGGCTCGTTTTTACTACAGTTAAAATAAAATGTCCATAATAGCTGATATCTCTCTCATCTTAGCGTTGTCCCGGTTGCGTCCTCAGCAGGGTTGCTGCGGAGCCCGGGGTCCGCTTTCCTACTCTTTCTCCTCCACTTTGCACGGTCTTCGGCATCCTTAGTGGTGAGACCATTGGCACGCATATCACCCTTGGCGACGTCAAGCCAGCACTTCTTGGGTCTGCCCCTTCTACCGGGGCCCGGCGGAGGTGGCATAGCCAGACATTTGTTTCCCACGTAGCAAGCCGGTTTCCGTAAGATGTGGCCGTACCAACGTAGGCGGCTTTCTTGCAGTTTATCTGCAATGTCACGGACATGAAGGCTGCCGCGGATGCGGGAGTTTCTGACACGGTCTTTCCGTGAAACTCCACACATCCAGCGCAGCATCTTCATTTCCGTGACACGCAGCTCCTGCTTATGACGCTCAAGTACGGGCCACGTTTCACTGCCATATAAAAGGACAGGCCTAATGATGGATTTATAGACCTGTCCTTTCAGCTTAACCGGCATCTTGGGGTCACAAATTACACCAGTCACCTCACGCCACTTTGCCCAAGCGGCTGCGATTCGGGCTCTGACGTCGCAGTCGATGTCTCCGGACGCGCTAAGTACAGATCCCAAGTATTTAAACTGGCCCGTAGGCTCGACCGCGTCTTCGCCTATGCGTACGGGTAGGGGATCTGTAGCGTTGCAGACCATGTACTCAGTCTTCGCCACATTTAGTCTCAAACCGCCGTTCTCAAGCGACTCCTTCCACACATTCACTCGTCGTACCAGTCTCCCTCTATCCGCATCCGCCAGCGCGATATCGTCAGCGTACATAAGCATCCACGGGGGTTGCTCATGCGTGTCTCGGATGGAGCTTGAGACCTCGTCTAATATCACGCTGAACAGATAGGGACTGAGAACTGAGCCCTGGTGAACTCCGACTGTGACAGGGAAGGGTTTAGTGTCACCAACAGCAGTCCTAACCATGGATTCGGAATCGCGGTACATGTCTCGGATGATGTCAATATAAGCTTCTGGTACCCCTTTGGATCTCAGTGCCCACCAGATCATTACACGGGGGAAAAATAATAGCTGATATGACGTACTGAAATTAGGCACTCTAGACAAAGTAAACGACTTATTACCTGGTAAATATAGTCGGAGTCGGTTTTGAGGGAGCTGAAGCTCTGCTGATGCGGTAGAGACACCTGGTCGTCGTCCATGGGCTCGTCCATTTGAGCCTTGTACGAGAACATAATGCTCGGTTGGGACACACTGAAACATTATAAATTAGTAGGATTTTGTTTATTTAGTTGTTTGTTTGTCTATCGTACTTGGTGAATTTACACGTGTAGATACCGAGGGCACAAAAACATGTTGTAGTTATGACGGTAAATATTTTATACGGCATTTTGCCTTGGGGCATGGACTAACAAATCAAGAGGACTGCTAATCGCGATAGAAGACAACGTATAGTCGAGCCAAGATAGCATCCTCTTTTTGACGGCTATTAACGGCGATAGAATGTAACTTAATAAATATTGTCCAAATAGGAAACGACTAATTATATAATTTATCTCCACTGTGAACACCAACGACGTGATTATTTCGGTTAAATATATAGTATGTATCTACAATAACACATAATTTAAGTCGTTGAAAAAAACCAAATACAAAGACACGACGCAAGCACATAGAAAAATTCGTGAGGTCCGCTGGTTCGTTCCGTGGCTTAGTTGGTATAGCGTCTGGTACGATAAGCTAGAACATGTCGGTTCCGGCCGGATCGAAGGAATTTTTTCTGAGTGTTCGATCTTTGTATTAATAATTATAACAAACTAGTGGAGTAATTTCACAAAAATAATTGAATATCAATTCAATAAAAAAAATTAACATAATTTAATTTAATATCTGCAAAAAAGTTGTGATAGTTTGTATTTAAAATACATCATTTATACGGTTATGTTCTCTGGTTTTTTTTTTCTTAAACCTAGTGATGTCCTGCAAGCAATAAGATAGTACTATTATGTGATTAAAAAAATTATGTAGTATGGTTGTTACGGTAGAAATATCAAATTTATACGATAAAAAACATGAATAAATGTATAATATGAAATCAATCATTGCAAACACCGTTCATAAGATTACTTACTTATGTTATTTACAAATATATGTTAATTTTGCCTAAAAGAAATATTAACAAATCATTTAAGTAACCTCGAAATTCTCAAATTGTGCATGGGTAAAGTAAAAATTTGATTTGGCACAACTTGCACTCATTGCATACAGTGTAATGCAAATCAGTACGAGTGAATACTACTAAATTCCTATACTATATTAGCAACTAGTACCATACTAGTATTAATGATACTAATTAAAGTGGATGTGTCACGGCTCTAAAACTATCTGTCAAAAAGAGGATGCTATCTTGGCTCAACTATAGTCGGGTATTTAGTACCTATTGGTACACCAGATGTCGCAACGTGTACCAAATAGCAATTTTTATAACTAATTTGTTGTTCACTGGCAAGTTGCAATTTTTCAAAGCTACTCTAATTTCTAGTGATAACAAACAAATCAACTATTGCACAGATTTTTATAGATAGTACCGGCTATTCTTTTATTTTGTTTAGGATTAGCTCCATCTACCCATATTAGGAAGAGTTAATTTATAAATAAATTTGTAACACACAATGTCATCCATTGACACGCATATTTGTCAAAGTTCAGAAAATAATTTTAGCACATCGATAAAGGTTTTCAATTTTTGGAAAACGTGTGAAAACCAGCATTAGGTCATCGTGGTAAATTATGGTCCATACCCCTCTTACGGTGCGTTCCGACGGCCCATGATGTCAAACACGCCGATTTGTATGGGCAAGCTCGCGAAACGGGCGGTCTTGGGCCGACGCGCGTGGCGGCGCGTAAATATTCGAATTTGTATTGAGAGCATAAGCCGCGCCGCGCCTTTGACGTTACCGACCAGCAACGGATCCGAACACGCCGCCACAGGTTAACACAGGCGCGCTCGGACGGCCGTCTTTCTATGGCGCGTTTCGTGAGAATGGCAACGAGTCGCGAGACGGATCACGGGCCTTGGAAAGCCACCTTTAGAAAGCTTTAAAGCTTCCCTCTTGTTATATTATAATTTTACCACAAATACCTTTTTTCGATACAAATATTAATCATACGCACATAGAACAAATTCAGCGTACCTAATATAACTAAATAAACCCTAAGCCAAATTTTAATAAAGTCGTCGATAACAAAAATGATAAATTATATTAAAGTACGTTACTTTAATATATTTCCTTCACTAACATCATCAATATATAAAAGTGTAAAGCAATACCTGAAGAATTCGCAAAGGAATGTGTGGTAAACCAACGGCGTGTACAGCGAAAAATAAAGCCAAGAAGTGACGTCGACGACACACAGCCCTGACTGCATTGCGCCCCACATAAGGAGCCCTGCGCCGATCGCTTGCGTTGTATCGAGTAGCGCCAATAGCAGCACGTACAGGTAAAACGAGAGCTTTGCTGAAAGTTAACGAAATATAATTGTTATTTTTTTACAATTCTTCGCCACATACCAACCCATGACTATTTGGTATACCCTGTAAATTCTACAAGCGAAGCAATTTAAAAAAATTCGTTTATTGCATAATGAACAAATTAGAAAAAAAAATTGTTTCGTCTCATTTTTTACCAACAATAGTAACGCTTAATAACAAAACATTGAGATCCGCAATAAAACTCGGCATTTGTCGAGTGTGTATGCAAAACGACTTTTCTGATATTCTGCGGCGACCGGTAAAATTACATGCGGCGTCCTCGGCTGGTATTCACGGACGGTAGACTAAACAAATTTAAATCACTGATTCTTCTATTCCAACATGTTGTCCAACTCTGTAATGTCTCTCTAAAGAGATAATGAAATGTTGCTTGAATAGAGCTACACCGACAAGAGCAACACTCTTAAGGTGGTATGTCACGGCAAAAATTAAGCATATTGGAGCAAATGAAACACTAGGTACTTATTAGTACTTAATTATAAAAAAGCAACACACGGCCACATTCATGCAAATACTGAAATTAAAAAAGATCGTAATATTGCCTCCTACTTTACATTAAAAACAAAGAAAGATGATGCTGAACATACGCGCAAACAACGAAATTGTGTTTTGGATTCTACTGGGGCGAGCGTCATCAATTACATTATTTTTAGCAATGTTGAAATGCAATATTAAAACTTTATTAGATTTTGTTTTAGAAGAAAAGATTATTAAGTAATCAGTCCATCACCCAATGGTTTACTCGATCAATGAGAATCTTCTGCGAAGAATAGCAAATTAGTCACGAAAGCGAAAGACGGTCTGAAAATCTATAATTCTATCTTTACTGCTCACTGTTGCCACTTAAACCAAGTTTTTATCTAATCATATGTACTTCAAATTTTGACGTTACTGCCGTTTAAACCGCTGTATCTATAATCTTTGAATCGATCACCCATAAAACTTTTGACAATTAATTAATAGTAACAGTGCTCTAGATGGCACCACTGAGTCGGAAAGAATGCCTCTGCCTAATATTTTGCCTTCCGTGGTTAGCAAGGCTAAAGTTTCTCTAACGTTAACTTTCACGATGCTTTCATTCGCTGTCAAAGCAAACTAAAAATTATTATTTTCATTTAAACATCAGTTCAAATTCCAAAAGATTCGAGAAGCATTATCGTGAGTACAATATCCTAGCACCCAAAAAGTACTTTTGATTATTAAAACAGGAATTGGTATTTTATTTTGGAACATTTCACCGACTGACAACAAAAAATGTGTGCCAATTCATGGAGACAATAATTTGGCAACATAATATCTTCGGAATTATAATTTTAGCGACAAAAGATTCTCGTGTTCAAAATAATTCAGTTACATAATTTGTAATACAATAAATCAGACTAACAAAACTGAGACTTCGCAATAAAAATGTGACACCAATAGACAAATTCACCCACCGACATAATATAATGTCTAAATATTTAGATGAACGGTAAAAAAGGTTAAATTATACTAACAATATTCATAATAGGTTTTCAATTTCACTGCATATCCGCGTCCGGAAAAAAATAGTAATCTCGCTTGGTGTTCTTTATTAACACAAATTATAAAATAAAAAAATATTTGTAAAAGCTATTTTTTTAGTGGGTACGTAAGAAACAAATGGCGTTGGAAATGAAACTATTTTTCCGGATTTAAATCGCGTATATTTGTTTTTTCAAACAAACCGACGTTTTGGGCCCTTTACAGGTCCCATGTCATTGACATAATATCAATGTGTAACAATCGCGAAAACTTAAGGACTCGATAAACAAATGACGTTTTAAATAGAGAGGACTTGATTTTTGTTACTATCATTCTTCAATCTCTACAAATTATACTAAGCTGCACTATATAAGTATAATGCATTTTTTAATAAGTATAATGCGTTGTTTAATGATTTCTATATGTATGTGTAAATGTTTATATCTAGTACCCCCGCTTTTATTCATGTTTAGTCTCTCTCCATCCTAAGGTTGTCTGGAAGAAATCGCTGTTAGCGATAAGACCGCCAATTGTTACCCTGCTAATGTGTTTAATTTCTGTCCTGTAATCTCTCTATGTATGTGGCGCTAACAATAAAGAATTTTCTATCTATCTATCTATACAGTGTGTTGCCACGTCCATGTAGCCAGAATAAAACATAACTGATTAGATTTTTTAAACTTTTTAGTTAAATGACTTAAGTTTTAAAAGTTATTCCCGAGACTGAATACGCCAGTCTCAAGTCTCGAAAATGCCAACAAAATGTTGACTCGAAATTTTCGAGACCGAGATTCCCGGCATGAAAGCCCTAGTTCATAATTGAGCTACCGGCTACACGAACGTTTAATTTGTAAAAAGAATTATTTAGGGCGCGTTCTCATAATGTCGTGACTTGTATATTTAAATGAAGTTCACATAATAGTAAAACACGATTAACGTGTCGTTCACGACTTTTTTGGCGTTACTACGACAGACTGTCGTGACAATAGGAAGAGCTAGAACGACAGTCGTCTGAAGATAAATCACGATCAAAATGTGACGACAGATAATCGCAGCTTCAAAAGACTCTGTCGTGGCGGCGGATGCCATGAACCGATAAATTTTCGTCACGATCTAACGGGAACTGCTAGATACGACAGTTGTTCAACGATAAACGTCCACGAGAGATAGTCGTGATATGGGAACACCATAGACACGGCAGTCGTCCAACGATAAATAAAACGTTACGACATTATGGGAACGCCTTAAATCGTCTTTTGATTTCGATTAAACGTTCGTTCTGATGTATGTGGTCAGTATGAACCTTGTCTTCGTAATACAACATTTTTAGCGTTCCTCTAAATAAATATATCTATCTATTTATGTATATCCAAATGTGTCAAACTCGAGAACTCTTTCCCCGTCATTCATCTAAATATACACACACCAACACAATAATTTTCTGACGGGCTTATTGTGGCTTCGTGTCGATACGTATAGTGACTCCTTAAGTAAACAATTCTACTTTCATAATTTTTTTGTTTGAGAGTCAGTAAAACCTAGATAACAAAAAAATTAACCAAAAACACAATGCCCCATTAACCCACCGAGATAACCACAGACATATTGTGGAGATAACCGACAATATGTGAATAAACTATGATTCCAACATGATTATCACGTTATCTACCCGTTTATTCGATAACAACTTAGTACATACGAAATGGACAACTGAAACCGTGTAAAGATTTAAAGTACTTACAAAGATAGTCCTTTTTTGTGCATACAAAATTCGCTTTTCACTCCCTAGACCATAATATATTCGTGTACTCTATACATATATATATATATATATAATATATATAATAGGTATAACAATAAAACTACCTAAACCACAGAACAACAAGTATGAATATAACTGCACTTTAGATTTCTATATATTCGATCAATAAAAATGGAGAAACACCTTAACCTGAAAAAGTGTTTTACCGAAAGGGCAAGAATCTAAAAATCCATGTACAATATATGTATATTATATACGATCTTTAGAACTAACTGGAGTATATAGTTGTGCCCTTTTCCTAAAACGTACATCCTTTGGGATGTTATGAATACTAATTAATTGTGAGCGCGGTCTAGTCACATATAATTCAAAGAATCGTCAAGTTATGCGTATACCTACATAACAAACAACAAAGCTCTTAATATAAACATTACCTACTCAGAAATAAGGTACTAACCAGCTAGTCTGAACGTTCTTCGTGATAAGTAACTAAATTTAGTAATAATATCAACAATGTGCAAGTAAATACAAACAGTCAACAGCATAGTTCAAGTTGACTTATCAGAAACAATAAATCCCCTTGCATAATTTATCGACCATTGTCTGATACGATTGCAGGAAATTAAATTGCTGTCACCAGAATGAAATCGGGCTTTTCTTTGTGCATTTTGGCACTAAATTTATTTTATCTTTGGTTATTGTGCTGGGAGACGAAAGGATTACAGTTGTGTTGAGCATTCTCTATATTTAACCGTTATAGTTGTAGAAAACGGCTAAGAGATTAACCACGACATAGGGACCAAAGTCTTTTTTTATTATATATATAATCTAGATTGCATGCAGTCTTTCAAACTTTCTTCCCAGCTCTTAGAGCGCTTACAGACGGCGACTTTTAACAGCGCATCTGCAGAGATTTAGTCGCGATACAATCGCGACGCAAACATGATACAATGTTTTTAATGATTCAACATAAGTTACTGCATCGATGCAGTCGCGCGTTTGCGTCGATGCAACCGCTTACAAATCGCAAGTGTCGCGATGAAATCGCGCGTTTGTATCGCTGCTAAAAGTCGCCGTGTGTAAGCGCTCTTATAGCCGACGCCGCCGGTTATTGTTCGTCGGGTTCGGGCATCGAAATCAGAAGCTATGCAGACAAACGGAAATATTAAGATATCAGTTCGGAGTAGTGGCGAAATGCCTTTGTTATAATCACTATTCACGCTACCAAGCGCGGCGAGTATAGCAAATGTTATTTTTGGAGAGGTTATATCCGACAGGATGAAGGATGCGAGACTGCGCTGGCTACGTAAAGCGAATGGGTGGAGATTGGAGATCTGTCACACAGGTTAGTTCCTAGTATGGACTCCAGTCTCTTACAAAGGTACTCTAATACTTAAGCATTTTCATGTAAATTACATTAGAAAACTTTGTACCCTTTGTAAAGAGAAAATAAAGATTATTATTATTGGACGCTGAAGAGAAGGTATTTGGGGCAACCGACTCGACTGTTACCAAAAAATTGGACGCACTAGGTAGGTACTGCCGATTGTAAATCGATCAAGAGATATGGCAAGTAAGTCCAACAGTAGACGGAGAGTAAATTCAAAACATAACTACGAACATTTTAAAATATGGCTACATTTTTATAGCTCCATAGCAATTGTTTACAAAGTAATGTTACTTCCTCGAGTACGTAATATATGTACAATTATAATTACTTAATTGACTAATTAAGATTATAGTCAAAAAACGGTATATCAGCAATTACGATGCTCTTATATAATAAAACAACGCTTTCGTTTATTCTTTTGGCGCAAAATTGGTCTAGTTTTTTTATTTTACGAATTTAAGATCTCAGTGGCACGGCTTATCATCGGTACCTACGCACATTTTCATTAAAATGCTTATATCAGAAAAAACATGACTCAGATTTTTAAAATATTTTTTTCTGGCTTGCTACAAACTAGGCAACATCCTGTTCCCAGGTTATCTTTGAGTTTTGGGACAACCTGTATATCGGTTTACTATGCACTGTCGAATATCCCACGTTTGAATCCGGTTATAATTTAAGAAACGAACTTTGAAATTGATTCATATTGTTTGGGTTTTCTAGAATCGGAAAAGTAGGTATTTTGTAGTATTATGTAGAGAATGCCTCAAGACAGTAAATTCACTAGTCCGTTATTTGTCATATGAACTCAATGTGATTTTAAAAAATATGAGTAAAAAATTTCAGTGTCATGACTGCTCATGAAAAAGAACAGATTGTAATCGTACTATTTGTACAGAAAGTTGAAAATTATTTTTGCAGTGATATTACCAATTCAATAGAGAAAGTTATTCAGTGTAATATCTTATCACTTACACTACATTATAATCACATTTTTGGTATTTATTTCATTTTTATTATTATGTATCTATGTTAGGATTAGTTTATGGTTTTGTTTAATCTTTTAAGTTTTGATTTATATTTGTAATTAAGTTTTATACCTAATCTTTATATTTCTTTTTTGTTTTATTTTTATCTTACCGCCTGCTTGGACGAGGCGCCATCTTTCTTTTTGTCCATATATGGCGCCACTGAAAACCAGCGTAATGAGGCGTTCTTCAACGTCTCATTACAAAAAGCTGATTGGTGACCGTTTTGGTAATATATAATGTATGATTGTGTTTGTTTTGTATTATTTATTGTAAAATTTTGCCAAATAAATTATTTTTCTTTCTTTCTTTCTTTCTAATAGGTTGAGTCATCTAAAATGAAATTTTACTTGTGCTTTTTCTATACATTCTCAAGTTGTTACAATGTTAGACCAGAAAAATTGTTCTACATAGTTTAATTATTCCTTTAAATAAAGCAAACTATATAAATTATAAACCTTGCAATCACTGTCACACTTCGCGGTTGCTGCAATATAACCACAATAGACATAAGAGCATTTATATTTTTCCTCATCATGGTCTAGTCATTAGGTTACTAGACCAAGGACACCTCTAACATCATTTTAAATCTGTATGCTGTAGCTGCTGAGATCAACCGACATAAAACTAAACACAAAGAAAGTCTGTTCTGCCACCCGAGCCCGCAACTTTTAGATCCATCAATTGTGGTCAAGTGGCTTAACCGAGGTAGTGTTCTATGATTGGGAGGTGCGGTATAGGACGCTCAACCGAGAATGATCTACCTCGTTCACAAGATTTGCTTATGGCTTGGCGACCGGTCACAAATAAAAAAAAAAAAAATCTGTATGCAACAATAACATAATTGTGATTGATTTTTATAATTATTCAATAATCCTAAAAAATAAATATCATGCTGTAGACCCTAAATCGATAAAAAGTATGGTATAAACAATAAACAAGTAAAATATTTTATAATATTAGCTACCACACCCTGAATAGCATTTATCATTATACAGGGTGACCTGAATCTCGATACATTCCTTTGAAGGAGTGAAAGTAGATCTAATTTGAAACAAATTTAGTTATGTGATACTCTGTCCAAAAATGCGTACTTTCGGAGATATTGAAGATTTTAGGTTCTTTGTTAAAAATCCCGATTTTCAGCTTCATTTTTATTTTTTCTAAAAAGTTTCTCTCTATTTCTTGTTTATTTTTGCTTTATCTGGTAGTTATTGAATCAAAGTTATTGTTTAATAACAAAAGGGCACGAAATAATTGTTAAATTTGCTATGGTGGTTCAAAAATAATAAAAAATTACTTAAAAAAAGAAACTTTTTCTCACTAAACTCACTAAAAAAAGTGCCTTGTAAAAGAAATGTATGGAACGATGTGTACAAACTGCTTAAATTACTTCCTTGTAGTATTACCCATTCAAAAAGGTCAAATATTGTACAAAAATAAAATATAAGTTTCAAATTCTTGCAATAATAAATTAGTGGGTCGAGGGAGCGTTTCTTAGAAATACGAGCCTACCGGGTAGTACGAGTAGATGCCAACCAGCCTCGCCGGGAACTATTGTACAAAAGTTTTTTTGTATAGCTGCGGCATCAATAGGGGCCTTTGTGAAGCATTTAAAAGTTTATTTTGTAGAACTCATTGACTCCAATTAGTTAGTTTACTTCAGTTAGCTGCAACTATTCGCGAGTGCGGACGTATCGTTACATTCTACTGTTCTAACTTTTACCGTTTACGTCAGTGATAAAATGTCTGAGTATACGAACGAAGAATACGCTGACATCTTGTTCTGTTACGGTTTTTGTGATGGTGATGTTGCTGCGGCACGAAGGAACTACATGCGACGCTACCCTAGTCGTCGTGTACCAATGAGAAAGTGTTTTCTGGCACGTACAGGCGCTTGAGGCGGGACGGCTTCAACAACAGCCGAAGACACATAGATGGTGGCAGGCCTCCCGTTTATTTTCCAGAGGAGGAAGAGGAAATATTAGAGGCTGTTAGAAGAAACCCTACAACTTCTACTAGGATGGTAGCTAGGCTACTTGGCACAACATAATTGAAAGTGTGGTTCACTGTCCATACCGCTGGCCTGTACCCGTACAAGGACTACACTCCGGTGCAAGGACTGGAGGAAGAAGATTTAGCAAGAAGACTAGATTTTTTGGCGTTTCATGATCAATACGATATGGAAAACCCAAATATTTTTACAAGAATCCTATGGACGAATCCAAGTTTGATCGCGATGGAATCACAAATTATCACAATGCACATTTTTGGGCCCAAAAAGGTGAAAACCCATGAAAAAATATCCCATCAGAGGTTTTCCCTAAACGTCTGGATGGGAATCATTGACAGACATTTAGTTGGGCCTTACTTTTTCCCTGATAATTTACATTGAGAGACTTATGAAATTTTTTTGAGGGATCATTTAGATCTATTGCTGGAAGATGTACCCGTTAGGACATTGTCTAATATGATTTACCAGCACGATAGCTATCCAGCTCATTCCGCCTGGGTGTGCGACAATAGCTGGACACAAATTATCCAGGCCGTTGGATTGGTCGAGCCGGGCCGATTCCTTGGCCAGCACGATGCCCAGATTTAACGTCGTGGGATTTTTACTTATGGGAGTGTATGAAACGCCCATAAATTCAAACGAGCTTAGGCAGAGGATAATTGACGCAGCTGTACAATTCAAGGCAACAATAACATCGCGGGTGACAAAAACTGAAGTGCGCAAAAGATTACGAGAATGTATTAGGAACCGAGGTTCGCATTTTGAGGAGTACTTGCAATAAAGCTTTGGTACTGAAATAAGTTACATTTAAGTTAATACTTGGTACTTGGTGCAACGGGCTGGTATCCGCAACTTGACGACAAAGCGCCTATTTTGCGTGTTAAATTTAAGTTATTTTATTTATACAATGTTTTTGGACAAGGTATCACATGACTAAATTTGTTTTAAATTAAGTCTACTTTCACCCCTTAGAAGGAATGTATCGCGTTTCAGGTCACACTGTATAATAAGTGACTATTTGGTTCAAAAAATAAAATTACAAAAAATTAAAATTATAAATTATATTTACACAAATGATGTGATTATGTAGCAAACAATAGGGCAGTCTAGCTGAATTTCCGCGTCCCGGTAAAAAAATGGAGACTTGGTGCGGTCTCAAAAATCCCGGAAAAAAACAAGACTTTCGAGACTATTTCAAAGGTGGATTCCCATATTTCTAGGCTAGGCGTTTTGGCAGTCAAAACATGATATTTTAATCAAGTTCTTTATTAACTCTCACCTAAGAAAAAAGGGCGTTTAATGTAGTTTCACATAGAGAGGATCTGATTAATATTGTAATCTTCAATCTCCACAGATTATATTAAACTTCACTCTACAGTGTTGCCATGTCCATGAAACCAGAACAAAAAAATGATTGGTGGTTTAGTAGATTTTTAATTATTGTTTAATTAAGTGATTTAAGTCACAAAAGTATATTCTGTATTAAGTATATTCTCGAGACTGAAAACATCAGACTCTAGTCTCGAAATAAATATCTAAACAAACTTCTGCATATAAACAATTTTTAGGCTAGGATAATTCTAGCAAGCAACTTACTTGGTAAGGCCAAATAGTCCCGCAAAGGTGTCCAAGGCAATATCAGTATGGCAAAGTAGATCAATGCAAAGACAAGTGACGAGACAAACCAAAACAGCATGCCACCATGTCCAAAGAGATCATAATTCCTTGTGTCAATGTGGAAAATGTCATCTGGCATTACAATTTCTAATGTCCCTTGAGTTATAGTAAAGGCAAGGGAAATTAATGATGTTGCCAATAGGACATATCTAATACTGCTTCGGCTATCCATGTGACCTGAAACAACAAGTGCCAATAACAATATATATTCAATGACTACCCCCTGAAGTGGGATTCCGATTACATGGGTGAACTTCATAAACTGTGTACAAAAAACTGGTAGCAAGTAAATGCCAATGTTGTTTAAAAGAAAATTTTCATTTGGATGTATTATATAACAATTTTATATATAATTTTATAATTATAATTTTCTATAATGAAAGTACAGCTTTTTTATAAGTATTAAGTGTGAGTAAGAAAATTATGACCTATTATGTTGTATGAATATAATAAATACATTAAGCAAATAAATATTATCCTTCTTTTTTTCTCAGCCTTTTGGCTGGTTTTAATTTTTATCAGTTTTATAATTTTTAATTATTATTATTATAAATTACTGAATAAACAAATGCACATTAGTAGTAGTTTGGGATTTTTGCTAATTAAATAAACTAATAAATAGATATTAAGAATTAGCGTACCAAAACCTTTTATGATTTTTTATTATTAAGAAATCTCACAATGTTTGAATTTTTAAATGGGAGAGGCGAGCCCAGAGTCTAAAATAGATAGATAATATATATTTTGTATTTATTTATTTAAATTATAATAATAAAATAATTTATATACATATTAATTTATTTATTTCCATTTATATAGATATGACATATCTAGCAAAAAATATGAATACAAAAAAAATACTGTATACTGTTAAAACATGTCTTAACAGATGGATAGTTATTTTTCTTACTAAATTGATCTATTTAGCACAAAATTGAATAGTAGAGGAACAAGCTGATAACAATGTCTAACTTTGTATTTTATGATTTACATAACATACTAACTAGATCCTTATCATTTTGATGTCACTTCAGCATGCACTGCCTCAACTTTTACAGTATTAGACACTAGTATAACTTCTTGTCTTATGCCATTATTAAGCCTAATTTTATGTGTAATGGAAACTAGTATAACTATTTACCATTACATCAATTGTACAAAAATAAATCTCTATTTTTGTCTATAAATAAACATATATCGGTTGATTATGGTAGAAACCCAAAATAATAGTCCATTTATATATCATAGGGTTTTTGTTTTAGAACGATAAACAAATCTTATGTGTTTCCAATACACATAGTTACATATTGTACCATTGTACAGTATGTGAACATATAAGTATACAAATAAAACACTTACCAAAAGCCAATCCAAATATTACAACACTCATTTCAGTGGCCAGCAGGAAAAATCTCACTGTCACCCAGAGGATTTTGTCCACCAGACCCCCCACTGGCATTGCTGCATTCACTGTCATTGACACGGCGCATCGCACTAGGCTGATCATCACATTTCCCCATACCAACGAGTAGAATGTTAGAAATATGGGACTGCTCGTAGCGCGCAATTTCAACTGAGCCTTGTTAAACCTAACAACTAGGAACAGCACGAACAGAGCATTCGGTATTAGTATAATCAAATCCCATATTCGGACCCTGCAAAAAATCACTTTGTCAGCACAAAACAAAAAACAAGGTCACTATCAAATCAAAGAAATGGTTAAGGTTGTACGTACCTCGAATTGTTAATCTCGTAATACAAAACGTATTTACAAAATGTATCCTCGGACACGGGAGGGAAATTTGAACCGTTTCCCATTTTTCTTGTATCACTGTTTAGCCATTTAAGTTACGAAAGCCTTCGAACTCCTCGGAAGCGCATACTCGATTTCAATAATCAAGTTAAGGAAGCGGCCCGCATTACGTCAGCTCTGCTTTGACATCGTAAGAACATACACGCTGCGTTTTATGACATTTATTTCTTATTATTTCTCTCGCTTTCTAATTAGGTTTACGAATTACGACACCAACAGCAACCACTGAACTCGACGCACTTTGTGTAAAAAAAAGGCATTGAACATTGAAGGAAAATTGACAATTTTTTTTTTAATTACATTTGAATTTTTTTTAAAGTTTCCACATGAGACATGTTAGAAAGATACAACGTACAATCCATCGTATAGCTTTATCTCTTTCTGATTTGTAGTCCTGAAGAAACACTGTCTTTCGGAACGATATTGGATAATCACGAAAAAATTATTGAAAAAAAAAAATGGTGGGTTGTAGTAGTTACAGTTTTTTCACAAATTATTTTTTAATTTTAAGTATCATTACGTTTTAAGTTTCTGAAGGGTCGTATTCTAGAACTGTACTCAATGCTCAAGTCAGGACTTGAGTATGGTCGTATTCCAGAACTGTACTCAATGCTCAAGTCAGGATTTGAGCAGACTTGAGTATGATTTCAAGCACTGGACATACGACCCTAATGGCAAGGACTTGAGTATGATTTTCAGTGCTCACTGCAATACTCAAGTCCTGACTTGAATATTGAGTAGAGTTCTGGAATACGACACTCAGGGTCGTATTCTAGAACTCTACTCAATGCTCAAGTCAGGATTTGAGTATGGTTTAAAGCACTCGAAATCAAACTCAAGTCCCTTCCATTAGGCTCGTATTTCCAGTGCTTGTGTTTCCATTGCAATTCTGACTTGAGCATTGAGTAGAGTTCTAGAATACGACCCTCAATGCTCAAGTCAGGACTTGTTTATGATTTATAGCACTAGAAATCATACTCAAGTTCTTGCCTTTAGGGTCGTATTTCCAGTGCTTGAAATCATACTCATGTCTGCTCAAATCCTGACTTGAGCATTGAGTAGAGTTCTGGAATACGACCCTAAATCCTTTGGTGATCCTTTGTTTAAGCTGATGGTTCTATAGCCAATGCTCAACAAATAAATAATAATAATGAACGATATTGTCAAAATGGCGAGTTTTTGTAGTTTGAGTTTTTTCACGAATTAATTTTTAATTGTAAGTATTGTGTTTTGAGTTTCTTAATTGTTTGTTGCTTGTTTTAGCTGATGGCTGTCTAGCCAATGCTCAACAAATAAATAATTAAAAAACAAAATGTCAATTATTTTCTTATTTGGCATGCAATTGGCGCTAGCAAGAAAACTTGATTGTGCACAATATATTATAATGGTCGTTTATTAGTATCATCGGTCTTTTTGCTCATAATGAACTAATTTGACAACATGCAGGGAATGTCGCAGAATTTATGTTTTCAAATATTATTTATTGTTAAAAATGTGTAAATTATATAATTATTTATTTCACTATATAAAGTGCAGCGTACAGTGATCTGTCTTCAATAAAAAAATAACGTTATGTAATACAATCATATGATCAGTATTTTGTTTTTGCAAGATGTCTTCACGATACCGTATTTTACGAACGGTGTTATCTCGAGTACGAGCAAGTTACAGAAATATAGATACAATTAACATACACAAAATACCTCCGAAATCTGTGGCCTTACCTTGCACACTTGGTTTCTCGATATTTACGTGGCTCGGAATTGAAAAAAAACTGACTCCAGAAGATGAGCTCATTGACGTTATAAAACACTGTGTTCTTTTCATTCAAAGAACTGAATATGACAAGGCTGAACAGCTTCTTCATGTAGCATTAAGACAGGCACAGCAAATTCAACATGAATTGGGAATAACTTATGTCTATGACGTTATGGCTAACTTGGCTTTAGAAAGACAGCAACTAGATAAAGCGCAAAAGCTATTCGTAGCAGTATCTCAAAGGTTAATGGCTGATGGTGCAGCGGAAGACGACTCACGTGTAGTACACATAAGCATAAAACTAGCTAGGATTTGTCACTTGAAAAAGGACTTTGCTACTGCACAGTTAGGTTATACTTGGTGCTTAGAAAAGTTAAACAATTTGTTATCCTCAGAACCTAGTGAAGTCACCACCAAGTTACTAGCTATGGCTGAAGACTGGTATGGAAGACTCTTTGTAGATTGTGGTAACTATGAAGAGGGATTAGATCACATGATACAATCACTGAACAGAATGAAAGATTTACCTGATGTTGAGGATGAACATATTGTCATACAGCTCAATGACATTGGAACTGTATATGATCGTATGGGGAAATCTGATGACAGTATAACTTATTTCAAGGAAGCTATAGAAAAGGGCCGGAAATTGGATATGGATGAAATAGGCACTATGCATGTGAACCTTGGGAGAGCTTATTTGAAAAAGAAGTTGGTAGATGAGGCTAGAAAACAATGCGGCTATGCATGGAGACTAGGGGTCCTTAAAAATAGCAATATCATCAAAGATGAGGCTGAAGATTGTCTTAAAGAAATAAAGGAAATAAAGTTGACAGTTTAGATACAATACACTTTTTTTATTTCACCTTGTTTCTCTTACAAACTATTGTTAGAAACCTAATATTTTGAGCAGAGAAGTGTTCAAATTATTAGTGTGTGTAGTCCTTAGACATAATAACCTTCAAACTTATAAGTTAACAAAATGCATTGGAAAAGAGTGTTTTTAAATCTAGTTGTGTACATAATAAAACATAAGATTATGTTTTCTGTTAAATGGCGCTTTCTTTTGTAACGGCAAATGGTTCAGGGACAACTTCCACTTTAGTGTTGGCAATTTTAACCTCCTTCACTGGACGATCTTCACTGCCTGTAACAGTCTTCTCAATCTTGCGTACAACATTCTGAAACAGAAAACAAACAATATTTGTTGCAGTTTCAGGGAGGGTATTTTGTAAACACATTACTTTGAACTCCATTGTTTCAATTTTATAACTGATTTCCCAATGGAAAGTTATGCTTTTTAATAACACTTATGACAAAATGTCTAGTTTCTAAATACTTCATGATTGTTTCGTATAATTGTAATCTGAATAAGAAATATTGAGATCCTGGCAGATAGAAGTTAAGAAAAGCATCAGAATCAAATTCGATATTTAATTTCGATAGTTATTAAATGTAAATAATAATGGACCTTATGGGGAACATAATTTAGACCCGTAAAGGTAGGCGTCCACAGATCCGCAGCGCACGCATCAAACGGCTCCGTTTGTGGCAGTGCGTCCACTATATCCGCAGCAATCGGATTGCCGACGCAACTACTAGCTATCGGATTGCCGACGCCACTTTTCGTAGCAAGCGGACGAGTGTAACTTGTGTGTGCGAGACAATGGATTTGTAAAACGATGAAGAACAATTTGTCGTGGTGGTTTGTTTGTTGGCAGAAGAAAGAAGAGAAAAAAAGAAAACATGATATCTGGATACATGACATATTTAACAATAGATCGCAACGCGGGGTGCGACCACTGATACGCAATCCGTATGACGTCGTCGGCACGCATCGGAAAACTTGTCCCTCCGAGCAACTGCGTCGGCATTACCGACAGGTCGGTGCGTGCGGTCCGCGCGATGCGGTTCAGTGGACGCAGTCGTATGAATTTCTATACAAAGAATGCTAAAATCCGTATAATGCGATCAGTCCTATGTTTGCGCTGCGGATATGTGGACGCCTACATTAACAGTGCGACGCGGATGACCTACGCGAACTGACGGTATAATGTATTATTATGCCTGTGACTATAATATATAGCACATTCAGTGTGATGCGGATAGCCGTCCAATTTGTCCGCGACACGCGTTGCATCGTTAAGGCCGTAATGTTACTTGTTTCTTAATTGATAATGCCTAATTGTTTATGTACCTCATTAAAATTGCAATCTAGTCTAAAAAAGTAGTAAGTAATAATATAAAAATAAAACTTCAAAGTGGAGCATTTAATTAATCTTGCTGCATGGTTTTTAACGTATTCGATTATAAACGGATAGACAGCGGGGTGTTCACTCACACGATATATTTTCATGCGTTTAAAAGACGGATAGCCGCAGTATTTACACAGCAATCGCCCTGAGAACACGTCTGTGATAGATCCACGCTTTGTTGTACTTTTATATTGTCATAGAACACGCTAACTGCTTCGCCGCCGCCGGAAGAATGAAACGTATTAGGTTCATCCAATGAATCAAGAAGCAGTGCGTACAAACACATTTGAAAAATTATATATAATAAATTCTTTCGGATGAGTAGATGACAATTTATTAAAACGTGTGGAGAATTCGAGGTTACCAAAAATAAATACGAATACTTCAATAGTAGATGCCGCTTGTTCGGTGACTACTCGATAAAAACGTATGACTTCGCGCCGTGTGAAAGAGATGCATTAATGCGCCACTGCGCACTGTACACCGAATACGTTAAAGTTCATTCGATTTGCTTGACGGACTTCCGTTGCGGATTCGATAACCGTATAGTGCTATTGTGTTTTTGGAGTACAAACACCGTGTGAACGGTTGTATATCTAATGTATGGTTACCTATCAGTAGTCCGAAATGATATTTTCCAGAAATAACGTTTGCTCCAATTTTCATAACCTCGAAAGTAATTTTGAGAGGAAAATGTTTTTTCTTTTACACCTAACCTAACCTAATCTAACCAAACCTAATCGTGTCTTTGCGATAAACATCCAACATATCCTGAGATACACTTCTTAACCTAACCTAATCTTGACACATACAACATTATACATAACATATACGCAGTGCCTAGTAGTAAATAGACCACTTTAGGCATAATTAACGTATTGTAGTTCATGATCTTTATGTTCTAGTTTGTAGAGTTTGTTTTTTAGTGTCGGACGCGTGCTAACTGATAATCTCTAAAGACCTATCAGCATGCTGACTTTGATTCAAATCTGAATCGAACCGATCGGATAGTCACGAAATCAGAAGGGTTCCCGAGCGAGAAGATGAACCTGATTTCTACTATATCTTTCTAATTTGTGAGTTAAATCAACCATTGTTCCGATTAGAAATGTTAAAAGTTTCCGATCGGCCAGTTGTGAATCGCAATTTTGCGCCTCGACTCGAAAAAGACGCAGTTTCCGACCGGGAGAGGCAATCAAAATCAAGCTGCTGAGCTCAGTCCGCCATTTTCGCTTGGTATGGTATGGTTGTGTCATTCTTTCGTGCAAATTCTCAAAAATCCTACAAAAAATGCCTTATTGTGCTGTTTTGGTGTGCAAAAATGATAGCCGCAAGAAAAATATTACCCGTGGTGGTATTTCATATTCCCGGAGTCTCATTTTAGTAAATTTTCAATTTTCTGTTTACCGAAATAATTTTTATGTTACAAGAAACGAAAGTAAAGCTTATACCCGTGCAATATGGTCGCTTCTTATGTATGATGGTGGGTCACTACCAATAAATACTTTAAAATTTGACTAGTAACGCAAAAAGTATTGAAATTGTCGCCAGTGTAGAGTCCGTCCTTTACTTCTTATATAAAAGTTTTACTATCCACTCTGGGACAGCATTCCTCGAAAGACAGCTCTAATTTAGATCTGATGATAACCAGAAAAAATTGTAATTTAGTCGGTTCTAGTTGCAGAATTCGAGACAAGTGAGATAGGGAGTATTATAGTCGCGTATGACCGATCAGAATTGATTGAGTAATAAATGAACGACTTAATGGAATAAACGATGAATAACGCAGGTCATGTTCCTATTCTACTACAAATTGATGTTATATAGAATCACAATACGCAATCTAAATTTTCAATGAACACACTCGCAATTGACATTTTCGTCATGATTAGATAAAAATGCAATTTCAGAAACTCTAGCCAAATATGATACTTATGTATGTATTAATGACAACGACAGAAAAAAAAACAATATGCACCCATGTAGGTACCTAAGACATGTTTTTGTTATTCTTTATAGTTAATTATTTAACTAATTTGTTTTTCAGTAAAATTTTAGTAGACAAATTTTAAGTGTTTGGGTAGGTATAAAAAATGTATGATAAACTAAGAGGTCAACATTCTAAAATAATATATATAGTAGATTCCCAAATAGTATAATTTATTCATTGTACCTAATGTAAATAGAAAATTATTGCTACTAATGTGCAAAAGGAGTAAATTAACAATCTAGAAATAAGTTTTTTTGAATATTCCACCTTATACAATAACATTTTTCATGAGTGTATTGAACAAATCTAGTCTTTTGTGAGTGGAATCGACTAAATCACGATTTTTTGCTTTTACCCTAGTTACATAAGCAAAAATTTTTGTGCGTACTAAGGCTATGATATTAAAAACTAACGGGCACCTTTACTGTTATGACTGGTCAACTATGAAATAAAATACAATTTGTATACAGCTATAAAAACAAATTGGTTTGTGTGATAATACACATGCATTGGGCTGACCATTTTCTTCAAAATTAGAGAAAAATACATGCTCAATATTATCTTTATAGAACTCTACATTTAGCCAAAAGTTGAATGCATATATTATACTTCCTTAATAGTAAATAGGTACTATTTACTAAAATAATAAATAGCTAGCAATACATACCACATATTTCCTTCTCAGTACAAGGAAACTTTGTATTGTTATTTATACTGCAAAATATGTTTATTGCATCTGCAGAGAGAACCTATAGACACTGAACACATATTCCTAAGTTGATAATGATCACTTACCATGCCTTCCAAGACTTTGCCAAAAACGACATGTCTTCCATCCAACCAAGGTGTTTTCACAGTGGTGATGAAGAACTGAGAACCATTGGTGTCCTTGCCAGCGTTAGCCATGGACAGCCAGCCGGCGCCATAATGGCGAAGCTTGAAATTTTCATCTTCAAAGCGGTCACCGTATATGCTGCGACCTGAGTATATATTTCAGGTTTTAAGTACACTATATAAAATATAACTCAACTTCTAAGGCAGTAATTCACAAAAATAATAATATTCTTATCATGTATTTGAGAATGCATGAATGCTGGTAGCACATGTACAGGGTCAAGAGCACGTCAAGCTTGATACTTAAGATTTAAATCCAACACTATGCCGCTTTCGATAAGAACGGTCCAAAGTACAAAGTGTCAAGCTTGACGTGCCCTTGACTGTACAAAAACAAAATCACTTAGAGAAAATATTATAGACATTGTGAAGAAAGAAATGTATAATGGAGGAAATCAGGTTTCCCTAGAGCTAGCTCTTACATGTTATTTCTAAGTTATTTGATTTATTTACTACAAATAAGAATAAAGATTTCTTACCACCAGTGCCATCACCCTTGGTAAAATCACCACCCTGGATCATGAAATTCTCAATAACCCTATGGAATTTGCTACCCTTGTAGCCCTCTCCTTCCGGTTTCTGAGCCAATTGGATGAAATTCTCGGCAGTCTTTGGGACAGTTTTGCCAAACACACCAATCACAATTGTGCCAACATCTTCATCACCAATTGTCATGTCAAAGTACACCTGTTTTTAAAGACAGATAAAAAATTATGATAAACCTATCATGAATGGAATGTTAACTTATTTTATAATTTATTACTTGTAAATGGAAAAGTTGAAGTTTGTAAACTACTATAAACAATTAGATGTCAGGACGACGTACCTCCATGCGAGCGAATGGCTTCCTTTACTATGTAATCTTGCGATTGCATAGGCAGGGAAGACACAAGCCGGTGCATCCTGGGCAACTCCTAGTAAATGCCTGGACTCTGTCCGGGCGTTGGCTAAAGCGTCATCACCCAATACGGAGGTGTTAGCGTACCGTGCCTATGGATGTGTGACTGGTGGGGGGCCCAGCCGCTAACGGTGCACCTCCGATACCGGGGCACCTCTGGGGAATCCTTATGCCCTTCAGCCGGCAAGCGGGGCTCTGCCGGCTGTGACCTTTTAATTCCCTAGGTACTCGTGGGATGTGTATGGAGACAGAAGAAAATAACATCAACACATTAATTTCCTCCTTGGAGGAAACATTGGCTGGGATGGGTAGTCCACCCAGGAACAATCACGTGACTTCGGTCACGGCCATGGATACGAACCAGTCGGGTCCTTCGGATCCCTGGAGGAAGGCTCCCAGGACCATGGCGCCAGCTGAAAGCGGGGATAGACCTACTTTTAGCGAAATGGCGGGCTCCCTACGCGTGGGTATGATGGGTGGGACCTGCAGGGACCAAGACAGTGCAGACTGGCTTGAGGGAAAGATCAACAACCTCAAGCCGTGGCCAGAAGCTCAGCTATCCACAATTCTCTAAGCCCACCACTGGCACCACTTACAATCCAAAAAAGGGGTGTGAGTCGGTGACAATGGCCGTCAGTCTACGGGGGCCCAAAATAGAGGTCTCCGCACAAAAATGTGGAAGGCTCTCCACACTATGGAAGATGCGAACGGATGGATAGTCGTGTTCGCTCTTGATGACCCATCTGTGGAGTCTTCGGGCTTCAAATTGCCGGGCACACTTCGGTCTTAAACAGGTTACGTTTAAGATCAAGGGGTGTCCGGAAGGTACAGTCAGCGTCGGCTCCGCGCGGGGTGATTCGGCTTCGAAACCAGTGTCGGTAACAAGTCCGCTTGAGGAATCGGGGCCGGGAGCCTCAGCGCAGGAGTCTGCACCTGGTCCGTCTTCTACCGATCAGGGGAGAGGTGTTGGGACCACCCCGTCAGCGGTTCTGGGTCCGTTGGCCCAGAATCGTGGACGGGAGATTGGTTGCATCCGGACAGGACCCGCTGTCCTGGATATGGTCAAAACGGCACAACCGGGAACAAGTGCCCAGACTGCAGCGGTTCGTACAAAGCCTGCCACAGTCATGGCACTGAATGAATGACATTGTTACTAGGTCAAGAAAATAAATTCTGGACATTACTTTCTCCACAGCTAGACAACCGGAAGTTATAACCGGCTGGCATGTTAGTGAGGAAGCTTTAATGTCAGATCATAAACACATAAGATTTCATCTGGGGGCAGAAGGTGCCTGCCACACCATCACATTTAGGAATCCGAGGGATAGTGCCTGGGATGTCCACAGAGAAAGACTAGGGCAGTATCTACAGGGGTGTCCTGAATCGATCAAAACCATTCAGAGTCTAGAGCTAGCTGTTGAGGTCACCTCCAGGCGCATCATCAGCGCTTTCGAGGAAAGCTGTCCGCCGAAAATTCGGACCTCCAATAGGAAGGTTCCGTGGTGGAACGCCAAACTCAGGATAGCTTCCTGAGAAGAGAAAAAACTCGAAAACTCTTTAATAGGGCCAAGCTAACGAAAGAATGGGAGACTTACAGGAAGGCCCTAACCAATTATAATAAGGAGATAAGGTAGGCCAAGCGAGCGTCGTGGAGGTTTTTGTGACGAAATCGCTGGTGCTCCTCAAGGTGCACGTCTCCATAGAGTACTCACCAAATTCAATTCTCATCAACTAGGACTGTTAAGAAAGCCTGATGGGAGCTACTTGACTTCGACGACAGAAACCCTTGAGCTTTTAATGTCAGCCCAGTTTCCGGGGGCCGTGTATGACTTACCCACTAGCCCAACAATGACCGCTCTACATACACCTCGCAACGAGGATTGGAATAGAGCTGCTAACATAATAAGACCTCGACAAGTGGCTTGGGCTATAAGCTCGTTTAAATCGTATAAATCCCCAAGTGAGGACAGTATTACTCCCATTTTACTGCAGCAGGACATAAGTGTACTCTTGCCATGCCTTGTTAAGATATACAGAGCCAGTTTCGCTTGGGGTCACATACCGATACAATGGACCACAAGTAAAGTTGTGTTCATACCGAAGGTAGGCAGAAAGGACTATTCTCTAGCAAAGTCCTTTAGACTCATCTGCCTTACCTCATTTATGCTAAAAGCAATGGAGAAGGTACTTGATAATCACAGGCTTATTAGGCTTATTATTAATCATAGGCTTCGTCCCTAATACGTAGTCCTATCCATCACACTCAACACACTTATCAAAGTGGGAAATCCACAGAGACAGCCCTGCTCCACCTTGTGGACAGAGTTAAAAGAGCGTTTGAGGACAAACAAATAGCACTGTGTGCCTTTCTGGACATTAAGGGTGCTTTTGACAATACACCCATTCGTACTTTGGTGAAGGGACTAACCTGCAAAGGTGTAGACTATTCTACTACGCGATGGGTGCAAAACATGCTTTTAAGCCGCAGGGCCAGTATCTCGTTACGCGGGGACCGGCTTGTGACTTCCACGGTCAGGGGCTGCCCGCAAGGTGGGGTAATTTCTCCTCTCCTGTGGACCCCTGCTGTGGATCAGCTCCTGTATAAGTTGGCCGAACTGAATATTGACGCTCAGGGATATGCGGATGACCTAGTAATCACAGTTAAAAGGGCACTGCCAAAGCACCATATCATCACTTATGCAAGGAGCTCTTGACACCATTTCGGCGTGATGTGAAGATAACGAATTATCTATTAACGCAGAAAAGACAACCATAGTCCCTTTCACTAGGAAGCGGAAACTAGATAAACTAGTGGAACCGATCCTTGGTGGCAAGATTGTGAGTTTTTCCGCAGAAGTTAAATATCTTGGGGTAACCCTAGATCAAACCCTAGGTGGAACTGCCATGTAGCTAACACGGTTAATAAGGTGAAGATGGCCTTAGGTATCTGTAGTCGTATGGCGGGACAGCGTTGGGGTCTAAAACCAAAGATGACTCTCTGGTTATACAAGGCAATAGTGAGGCCCATAGTAACATATGCTGCTGCTGTTTAGTAACTCTGCTGTTTGGAGTGCTAAAGTCAGTCAAACAACCACTAATGCCACATTGAGCAGTCTACAGCGCATCGCGTGCTTGCTAGTAACGGGAGCCATGTCCACTACTCCAGGGGCGGCCCTAAATGCATTGCTAAATCTGACTCCCCTGCATATATTCATACAGAAGGAGGCCAGTACCAGCATGTACAGGCTCACCACCAAGTTAAGGACCAGATGGCTCTCCCAAACATTGATATCAACCCAGGATTAATTCTGGAACATTCTGCTCTGGGAATGACTTCTGATGTCATGCTTCCCAAGCAAAACTTTAAAAAACTCTACCAGGTAGAATTTCCAACTAGGGAAGACTGGAAAACCAACAGTCTTACCTGGAAGGATGGTAGCCTTCTTTGGTATACCAATGGGTTTAAGATGGGACCCAACGTAGGCTGTGGTATACCACACGTGTACCTGGGTCTCAGGCCGTGTAACACGGCGTGAAACCCAGGCTCAACGATAAGCTGAGTTTGGGACGACACTCCTCTATCTTTCAGAAGAAATGTACGCCATAATTGCTTGTGCGGATTTGAACCTGAAGAGAGGCTATGTTAACAAGTATATTTACATAAACTCAGCAATTTCAGAAGTAGGTAATAACACTCCATACACATGAATAAATCCTCTACACTACATGTTTGTTATAGATGAGAATTTTGTATCATATTTTATTAAATAATGTCATGTATTTGTACAGTATATACAAAAGCACCTACATCATCATTTACACAGTCGTAATTTAATAAGGAAATTCACAAAATGGTACACAAAGGAAGAATCAAACACAATTTGCAGGCAAGCTATCATGTTCAATTGAATGTATAGTCTGTATATACATTAATTTCTTGTTAGGGTTGCGCCACAGATCATAATTTCCCAAGACACAAAAAAACATTTATGCAAAATTTGTTATATATTAAGATGAGTACTGTCATACCGTGTTAAAATATTTTTATTATTATTACTATCCTAAAGTTGAAACTTTATGGAGGGTTTCAGGTTGTTGGTCCAATAAACTACATATTTTCTAGGATGATCCCTGTGACACTTCATTTGACGTTTTCATAGGGATGAGGTAATGTCGATAGATGTTTGAAGCAAAGGTGCTCTCTTATAAAGCCTTGTATAATATTACAGATTTAAAAACATAACAATTGAGTTTTTAAAATAATGAACTCTCATGAATTGTGCATAAATAATATTTATTTTATTTCTGTTATCCGATCTGAAATTTCTGTGGAGGAAGTACCAGAAAAGAAACAAATAATGGAGTCTCCTGCCTCTCGAAAACTTTGTATAGACGTATGAACTGTTTTGTATTGCACTAAAGGCATAAAACACTAACGAAATTAAAATGCCATTTCAGTTGATATTTTAATAAATTTAGTCAAACTGACTCATAATGTAGATTAAAAACATTAAAATTATATCACAAACTACCTAATAGGTTAAACTCGTGTATGCACTATATATTTATTCATTAAATTATCAAAAACTTTTTATCGATATACCTCATCTCTAGCAGTCTATTGAAGTAACCTTTGTACTTTGCTGTAAAAATAAATTAATTTTTGAAAAAAAAAATTGTTTCTCTGCTCATTTCTCACTAATTTGGTGTTTCTTTTACTTTAATTTTATATATTTGCTTAAACAAATGTTATTCACTTAAAAGCGAGACTTATGAAAATAGTTTATAAAATAAGTAAATTAGTGGACGTCATTACAAGGTTATACTATGTAGAATTTTGTGAAGTGTCAAAGGGATCATCCTAGAAAATTTGTAGTATATAGTTACTGAGGCAGACCAGAACAAATTCAAAGAAATTAGGAACTCCAAAATGGACTGCTGCGTACTCTATAATTTTAGCCTTTTTCTTATTTACACACTTCTGTAGGTTATATGTATACGTTTTGATGACCTTATAAACATCATACACAGTTGCTATGGGCCGAATGGATCGCGTGTCTGTTGAATTGGAAAACAAGGATGTGGCTCTAAATCATACTAATACAAATCGGAAAACAAAAAAGATCGACTGGCAACTGGTTTTGAAAGCATAATAAAACGATATACAGTTTTTTTAACAAATAAAAAACTTGGACCGTCAGATTGCAGGGTCAGCGACCCGAGAATGATCAACATATTTCAAACGCCGATGTATGAGAACAAAGAACAACAATTCATTGTTTCTTCGTAGGGTTACAGCATGGTGTTATACGTACCTTGTGGGTGACCTTAGGTCCTTTGGGTGCTTCATCAGAGCGTGCTACGCCAAGGAATAGAAGGAGACCGAGTGTCATCACTAAGGCACCCATGATGACGAGTAGTTTTGACTTTTTTCTTAGTATTTTTGAAAATTTAAAAATTATCGACTAATTTGGCACTGTGCTTATTACTAAAATACTAATCTTATCTAAATGTTGTGCAGGCAGCTACAACACGGCGTACTCCAGCAATCTAATCTATCTATCAACCACCACAGATTCAAAATTAATAGAAAACCACGTCATGCTACGTTCTCGTCATTATCGTCTCAATGACAGTCTCTATTTAGGTTGCCAGTTTTCAAAAATACTTTCCCAAATTTGTATTTAGCTTTCGGTAATTCAGAACAAGTCAATACAATATAATAAATCTTAAAAATTTTTGAAGACATTCGAAGGCCAAAAGCTAATTCTGCTTCAACGTAGCTCTCCAAACAGGAGTACGCCTAAAAAATTAATATACACGAATCATGATTATAAATAAGTAATTAATACAAGGAAGGTGTTAAAAATCAGAGATACTAACAATTTACTTATTTGCTCTACATTAATGACTCTTGGATAGTATTTTTCATAGCCATTGCACCTATTAATCCATTGTTTTGTTGGTTTTTTGAATCCAGACTTATTCTTAATAGATTTAGTATTTAATTGACCGTTAGTATTTGACTTTGGCAAATCTTCAGTCTTAACAATACATTTTCTTGTTGTGTCTTGAAACAAGAAATCTTCATCAAATAACAAGCTTTCATCGTCAAAATTCCTAGAAATGTTACTGGAACAAAAAAGATCTTATTATTATTAATTATAAAAATAACTGACAATAGATAGTATTCATCAGTTTATATAAATAATCTTACCCATTAATTTGCTCAGATATAATTCTCTCTACTTCTTTAAAATCGTCGGAAAGGTCTGAAACTATAAAATTCTACTATGAAAATAAATTCTTTTTTATTAAATTGACTGGAAATGAATTATACCTACCAACTGCTTTCACGACTTCTTCATCTTTAAGTTCACTTAATGTTTTCCTCAGTTTTCCAGAAGTTTTAGGTTTAGCAGAATTGTCGTGTTTTGTTACCTAAAACAAATACAACGGCGTGGTCAGTTGGAAGCGTTGCTGATCAAAGAAGCACTCATGCTTCAACTGTGACACAACACAGCTATTGCAAAAATACCCAAGGCTTCTTTGATAAAATGTAATTTTTTTACTTCATGTGAAAGTTTCAAATTGTATTTTTGACATCAATTTCATGGGAACTCGTACTTTAGTTATAACTTTCTTGATCAACTTTTTGTTTGTTTTCCATTTTTCTAAGGCTTGCCTTTGACGTTCCTTCAGATATACATATTTTAAATACCATTGGTGATGTGAAATTAGTTCGTCTCGTCTGATACCTGTTAGAAAATACTTTAATAAGTACTTGTGTATTCTAAAATAATATGAAGACAAAATATCTGTTACATAGAATCACTGATATGTTAAGGGAGGCTTGTCTGACAAATAGCTACTTATCATGAATTTTTAGCAATAGTTCTTCAATAAATGTTTCAAAATTTTTCAAGTAATGATGCTCCGTAATATAATCTTCAGCGTTTTCGGAATTAAAATATTTGCGCCAAGTTTGCTCAAATACAATGTGATTATAAGCAACCCATCCACCATAGCGATTTTTGCTATTTGCCATGAATTCTTGGAAATTTTGGACTTCCTGAAAATAGTGATTATGATGATACAAAGTTGTCAGTATTTAATATATGTATAATGTATAATGTAAGAGCATAATATATAATGTATAATGTAATGAGGTTCATAATTATTCTTTTATTAATTACAGTTACCGAGCATTTAAAGGGCGAGTTCATAATTGCTCTAACCGGACTGGTAACAACGTCATTGTATGGTTTAACTTGCACTTTCGGTTTCCTCCTTATCTTTTCCACTTCGTTAAGATTTTCATTTAACTGGAAAAAAGCAAATACTGCTGGTTTAAAATAGGAATAGGATAGGGAAAGTATTCGATCCTCAAAGACATAATTGATCTATATATTGTAATTGTGTACTTATTTAAAAAAAACATATTTTTTATGTTATATATATTATACAGGGTGTCCCAAAACTCAACGTCAAGCGGTCATTGGGCGAGAGGCCAGGTTATATCAGTTCTGGTAAAAATTTAAAAAAAATCCATGTCACTTAGTTAAGTGATAATAGGCATTTTTTTGAAAATGTTGAAAATCGATACCCTAGACCACATGTTTAGGTACTGTCATCACAAATTTTCAAATTTTGGAGTGATTTTTTTTTAACGTCATCATAAATAACCATGCTATTTATTGCAGTCACAAATCAAACAATAAACGTTATGAGTTTAGTAAAAAAATATAAGTTTCATTGAGTCGTAGCTTGAAAAAAAATATGTCAGCTAGCTTTGACACTTCATATTTTAAAAAAAATGTACTACACTACCCTGGGCAAGTTATTTTAAAAGATGGCCCATATAATCAAGATTTCAAAATGGTACAATACTTGCCACTCTTCATTCCATAAAAAATATTATAACTTATTTTTTGCAAAAGGAGCTCGTTTCAAAAAAAAACTCATGCCATGATAAATAATACTTCTGTGTGCTCAAATATTGGCTTTAACACCGCGGAAGTGAGATGGTCATATGTGATAGAGTGAGATGGATAGTGACGCTGTGCGACATGAATTAGAGTGAGCGAGACGGATAGTGACGCCGATGCTCTATTATTGATCATTGGTTATTATCATTTGTAGGCTACGTTCCTTCGTTTACTGTGCATCTTCTCGTAATCGTGTAACTTTTGTACTGACGACTTTGGCTTGTGTTACCCTGGACTTGATATTGCATCTGCGTTGACGACTCTGACTTATTCCCTGGACTCGATTTGTGTTGTGTAAACTGTATTAGTTAGTACTTAGCAAAACTAACACGTTTCGCGACATGCCGTATCTCTACACAGCGGAAGAATATGCGAACTTACATCTTATTTACGGTGAATGCCATTGTAATGCCTCTGCCGCAGCCAGATTGTATCGCGAGAGGTACCCAAACTTAGAGCGTCACCCAGATCACCGCGTGTTCGTCAATGTACACCTGGCATACTCGGAAGGACGATTGCCCAGTGCTCGTACGAGCGGTGGAAGACCTCAAGGAGACGACGACGACGTAATTTTAGAAGAAATTCGAAATGATCCCAGCACTTCAGTACGTGCGATTGAAAGAGCCACTGGAATACCGAAAACTATTGCTCATCAAATTTTAAAGCAACACGAATATCACCCGTATCATGTGCAACGTGTACAAAGTTTATTACCTCGTGACTACTCTCTCAGAATGGATTTTTGTAGAACAATGTTGGCGAGAAATCGTGAAGATCCGTAATTTATAAACAAAATTTTATGGACTGACGAAACAACATTTTAAAAAGATGGTTATTTAAACTTGCACAATGTACATGACTGGCACACGGAAAACCCGCATTTAATGCGTGAAGACCGATCCCAATACCAATTCAAAGTCAACATGTAGACCGGAATTTTAAATGGATAAATAATTGGACCGTTTGAGTTGCCTGAAACATTAAATGGCGACAACTACTTAGATTTTCTTCAAAACGATTTGCAAACATTACTAGAAGATGTACCACTCAACATCTATAGAGAAATGTGGTTTCAACAAGACGGTTGCCCAGCGCATTATGCTCGTTATGTACGAGATTATTTAAACACGGAATATTCCGGAAGGTGGATTGAGCGCCTTGGTTCAATTTTGTGGCCTCCTCGATCTCCGGACCAAAACCCCCTTGATTTTTTTTACTGGGGCTGCATAAAGGAAAAGGTATATGCAAAACCTATACAAAATCTAGCCCAATTACGCCACAAAATTGTTGAAGCAGCAGCAGAAGAAATTAGTTTGAGAAGATTCGCACGATTGATAAAAAGGTCTTTTGTGAGGCGATGCAGAGCCTGTATTCGTGCCGAAGGCAAACAATTTGAGCATTTACTTTAACATTAAAGTATTACAATAGCTCCTTTCGTTTCATATTGATTACAATTTATTATAATACAACAATCGACTAATTATTAAGTTGACACACTCACATGTGTTAGGGTAGATTATTTTGTTTGATGCGTTGTCACTATCCATCTCACTCTATCACATATGACCATATCACTTCCGCGGTGTTAAAGCCAATATTTGAGCACACAAAAGTATTATTTATCATGGCATGAGTTTTTTTTGAAACGAGCTCCTTTTGCAAAAAATAAGTTATAATATTTTTTATGGAATGAAGAGTGGCAAGTATTGTACCATTTTGAAATCTTGATTATATGGGCCATCTTTTAAAATAACTTGCCCAGGGTAGTGTAGTACATTTTTAAAAAAATATGAAGTGTCAAAGCTAGCTGACATATTTTCTTTAAGCTACAACTCAATGAAACTTATTTTTTTTAACTAAACTCATAACGTTTATTGTTTGATTTGTGACTGCAATAAATAGCATGGATATTTATGATGACGTTAAAAAAATCACTCCAAAATTTGAAAATTTGTGATGACAGTACCTAAACATGTGGTCTAGGGTATCGATTTTCAACATTTTCAAAAAAATGCCTATTATCACTTAACTAAGTGACATGGAATTTTTTTTTAATTTTTACCAGAACTGATATAACCTGGCCTCTCGCCAAGAAACCGCCTAATGTTGAGTTTTGGGACATCCTGTATATATAATTTTTTTTCCATTTACGGATACATTATTATAAATGAACTGTGTTCAATGTAACACTATCATTATTTTAAGCATACTAAATTAATAGTTGGTATTCAAAAATGATACTTGATCCTCTTGTTTTATTATTGGTCTTTTAACAATTGATGACATCAAATTTATACCCAGTATATCTTTTGATATTGATCTCGTAATAAATACACTTAAATCTAGTGCACAATTTAATTTTAAAAACTATTTGATCAAACGAAAAATATTTTTGGTTTCTATTTCATTTCTATGATAATAACCGTCTGTCATTGGGTGAAGATGGATAAAAAAGTGACCATTTAAAACGACCCATTCACTACCCGCATGGCAGTCTGCCGCGCAGGAAGGCGACTGCTCACATCCTGCATATGGCCCACGTGTGGAGTCTCACAGGACGCATTGCAGGATTGCAGGATGGCTTGCACGCTATGACTACGTTCATAATCCTGCATTACGCAGCGGACGGCTAGGCGGACTGCAATGTAGGATAATGAATGCCCCCTTTTACACAGATGCTGATACAAATACGTATTTGCTACAAAGTAGTAAAGATTCGTCAATAAGTAAGGAAGATTCCCCTTGGATGAACGCATTTACGCATCAAGATTTTTGATTTTTCACATTGTAAAGTAATACCTAGTGCCGAAAAATAGTAACATGTGGCATAACAGCAATTAATGCAAAAATGTGCAAACATGTCATAGAAATGTAATGGCGATTCGCTCTGAAGTGTGTACGTATCCGCACCACTGGCGGCCAGAAACATTACCATAGGCCAAAAAAGAAAATGTGATTGACCCACAAAAGCAAAACGTGTTTTATTTGTTCAATAATCTAGTTTAGTATTCGTAACTACCTTAAATTTAATTTTCTAGTAAGTACTTAATAATAAAGATTTTTAAATATCAAGCTCCTAACTGGACTAAAATTTAATAATAAATAGGTCCGAAAAATATTTAATGAAGCTCAAAAGTAAATCAAATCATAAGAAATAAGTATCCAAATTTTATTTTTTAATGCTCATTTGTTTTACTTTTGAGACACAACATGAAACTATCAAAGTCAATTTAAACAAATCAAACATTTTTTACGTAGCTCAGAACAGATTAAAATATCCATTAATTTAATACATTTTATGTCTCAGGCAAATAGGATCAATCACAAAAAAGTCGACCGTTTGTATTTTCTTGCAAGCTGCTTTAACAAATTTAAAATGATCATTTAAATATATGCCTTTAAAATACATGTATACTTATAAATATTATTTACTTTATATTAATTACGTGCATACACGGTAATGTAAGTATTCTAAGCTCAGATTACAAAACAATAGGTAGATGGAGCATACGCAACTAACGATGTGAAGCCGCTTTTTACTTATTGCGTGTGTGGCAACTAGGAAGGGGACAGTAGGGACACGCGCATTTGTGTGCGAGAAAATTGGCAGATGCAACAAAAAAACTCCCGCAATTTTTTCTGTTGCTTCCTATAATACTAATACTACAAACTGGAAAAGTTATTTTGCAATACAGGTATTGAAGTGGTATTAGGATATCAAACAAATTAAAATTAAAATAAAAAATAACTTAATATTTAATTGTTAATATTTGATTTATATCACACAAAGGAACAAATATTTTATTACGATATTTTAAAATTGAAAAACTTTGATAATTCAAATTATTTATTACAACCACAGTTACACAATATCTTAATAACCTTTATTTTGTACGCGTTTTTATAATACTACCATTTCGCGTCTATACATCGAGAATTCGTTTCTAATTTTGATATGTAGTGCAATCGCACCATTAAATATTTTTCTACTATTTTTTTATTAAACTAACTTTGTAATCAATTCCATAGCATTGACGATCATCTTCTCTAATTTGACAAAAAATATTTGGTTCCCAATGAAACTCTTGTACCTGTGAATTTATGTATATTCAATGTTTTTTTATTGACACGTTTTCTTTCTAAATCACTCAAGACACACAAGACTCGAATTTTTATAGCATTTTAGAGTGGTTATATCGATACAAACGCGCGATTGTATCGATGCAATCGCTTATAACAAGTGTAGCGATGTGATCCCGTGTTTATATCGATGCTTAAAGTCGCGTATGTGTGTAAAGGTAGACGGTTAGCTACTGCATCACTACTGTATCGCGTTTGCATTGCTGCTAAAAGTCGCCTTCGCGCTTTTCGCGCTTAGGAGCGAAACAAAATTTTTTTTCAAGTAAATAAATTTTCGGGTGTTACTGATCCCACGGTCACGTCTGGCTTTTTAGTATTCGTAAATGAGCCTTTCTATCATACCTGTTGCGGTCACAGCGTTAATTGTAAATTTCTATTATAAGCTGACACTCAACGCTATTAGTGGTCATAATATAACGTGACAATACGTCCCTCTTTGATCGGAACAGTCTCGCTTTTAAGCTTTGTCTCCCGCAAGTTCTCTGTATCTATAGAAATACATTTTCTTATGTGTACATTATGGCTATGAGACATTGGTTTGAGAATAATTTGGGTAAATCTGAGTTACCTACAAAACAATTTTAGACCGCTGTAAATGGACGAGCCTATATGTATATGCATCATTGACTTACAAATAAATGGACGTCGGGTTCGCGCTAAAAAGTGTCCGAACTTACAGGGCGTTAAAATCGTATACAGAGCGTCAATCACGCTATAGTCTTCGTTTGTTCGACTGACAGCGGGCTTGTCAATGATGCCGTATTGTGTAGTAAAACCTTCTAAAAATTACTCAACTAGAGTGAAAAAGCAGGGTGGTATATCATATTTTCAGTAAGTACTACATTGTGTTATCATAGTTATCATTTAAAAGTTTTATTTTATGCACTAGTATATATAGTATTTAGTTTATATTTAAATTAATCGTAAATATAAATTACAAGAGCAATCAAAATAGTCAAATAACTAACTGTCTCTTTCCGACTTATTGCTTGCGTAAAAGACTGAACGAGACCCATCACGTCAATTTCAATTGTTTGAAACACAAGCGTTTGATATATTTAGAACAAAAATTTCATAGAGTCGCTTTGATGCTAATGTTGTTATTAAAATATTTTTTAATACATGTTAGTAATACTTTCAAATATTGTTGTACTCTTTCTACGGCTCGGGGTTACGAATCAGAAGACCGAAAATACAAATGCCCGAAATAACGTTTGCATGAATTTCCATAATCCCGAAAGTATTTTTTTAGGTTTTTTGGGAGAAATATGTGTATGGCCTACATTTATTTCTCTCGTGAGTTTGGGTGTAATTTGTGGTTCTCTATGTCATATGTGTGTCCATGGCACCCGCGACACAGGGTTTCCCTAATGCGGCGCAATGTTGAGTGTGTTGTTATTATAAATATTATTATTAATTAGTACCTGAGTGTTTATTTTGGAAAGCGTTTCTCTTGCGCAATCAATATCGCGCATTTTAATTTTGTAATTATCTCACAACGGCAAATACCCTACTACCGTCATAGCCGTACTTTTTCATGCACAAGAAACATTTGCAAGAACTATGAGCAGTACGACTATGCCTGTTGACAGAATAAACCGTCGTCAGTGATAAACCGTAATAACTATATTGAATCAATGTAAGCACTATATAGAAAAGTGGTGACGTTTTTGAGCGCAGTATAATTTCAGTACGACGCACGAACGGGTTTAGAAAATGGTAAGAAAAGAAAGGAAACCAGAGCTGATGCAAGCTTGATAAAAGACCATAATATTAAAGCTTTGGTATGTGATTATATCAATGAGTGAACAAAAACACTGCATAATAATACAAATAGTAACAACCTTGATAGCCTAACGGTTTGCACTGTGGGCACTGGATGAGAAGTTCCCGGGTTCGCTACCGGTAGGATCAATTTAACAAATTAACTTTTCTAAATGGTTCTGGTCTTGGTATTCTATTGTAAGACAATCACCTCGTTTGAAACTAGGGAAGCCTCTGTACATACTCCCCATGAGTATCAGAGCAACAGAATCCCAGAGCAGAACCAATTTACAAAAGTTAGTTTCCAAAATTGGTTCTACTGGGAATCGAACCTGGGACCAAGAACGATGGAATTTATTCCGGGGCATAACTCAGAACACTCAGGCCAAAACAGTTTTCGAAAAGTTCACATTTAATTTTATAGTTGATTGAGCTGATCTTTTACGGTTTTTAAAAAAAATCTCGAATAATTCGAGAAATCGGGTACGAGAATTCTCGAAACTCAAGAAAAAACGTCCGATACCAAAGCTCGTAATAAATGGTATTGTATAAAATTCAACATTTACGTATAAAATTTATTTATAAATAATAAAGGCTACTCCATTATACCTGTGTTGAAGTAGTTTTCACTAGAAGCTACATATGGTGCATTTTGGTAAGTTTCCAGTAGAAGCTGAAAATGATGTTTTTTTGCGCCTTTCAATTCTTGCAAGCAAAATTAGTCAGTACTGCAATGACATTACAATTTAAATTCAACGTTTTAGCTTTTTATATTTCTCTACATGTCACTACGTTTAAATAGGTTGACTTGGGACATTTTTTTCGTGGTTTTTGTATTAGAGCCGTCGTCCATTTATTTGTAAGTCAATGATATGCATGCATTATTTAATTTCTATATAAAAGTATAAATTAATCGATGCTCCTAACACCCATGCATATTTACCGAATTTAAGGAAACTAATTTCTATATAAACTGGCAACACATGAATTTATGTCGAGGTTTTGTGTTCCGAGTGGATCATATAAAATATTGTGTAAATAAATTACAAAACAATTAAATAATCAATAGTTCCCTGTGAAAAGATATTACAATGTTTAAAGACGCAAGACGGCATTTTAAAACATAAATTAACTAATCACTCGAGACGTGCAAGCTGTGCCACGCGTACTTAGTATTAGTACTGGCTAGAGATGAGATTAACTGCTATATTGGCCTAACACGCTAAATGCTAAATTTTTATAGCGCGCTATTTAAAGTGCTAAAATTATAATTTTTAGCAGCTCAAGGTCGTGTGATAATGTAACGAATGGAAAGAGACGTGAAATAGTTGACGTGCGCTAACTTGTTAAGTATAGCATCTGTGGTCTATCTATAGAATAGTTTAGTTTTTTATGGTTAGTTACGACTGACTTTATTTATTTTGTAACTAATACATAATATGGTGATTACAGGTTATAGACGATAAATCAATTACCTTCCCTTCATACTTTAACAATTTACTATTTACAATTAGCACAAAACTTTACAATGGTTATTTACAGTAAATTACACTCATAATAATTAATAATAACGCACACACTCGTAGTTTTATATACAAATATTACAACAATTTATTAATTAAACAAACGCTAAAGTAAGTAAATAAATCCAAGTACATAATTATATCTTAATTTAAATCGCTTCACCAGGCGAAATTTTGCTAACGTTCCACCATTAGCTCAATATCGTATTAAAAGGTAACCAAAATTATAATTTATAACATAACTACAATTATAATACTTGCCAAGTGCTAAATATAGCATTAGCGCTTAGTGTACTCAAACGTGAAATTTAACATCAATAAACCAATCAGCTATTCCGCGTTTCGCACCAAACGTTAAATGCTACAAATAATACGTGAAAGTATTTCACGTTATAATTGTTTCAACCAATGACAAGACCCGCAATTTTCATATAGAATATAGTGCCATCTATGAAATATTAAGGGAGATAACTCAAGACGAAGAAGGATTTTGTTTGTTAGCTGCGTAAGTGAAGGGCGGATAGATTGATGGTATGGCATTGAAATATTGTACAATTTAATTTTCTTAACGTACTCCAATCCAAAGTGAAAAAAGTACGTTATCATTTTAGCACCTTTATGTCTTTCAAATTATAATTGCTGTAATTGTTTTTTAATTTAACGTTATAATTAGAGCTATATATTATATTAACCATCTCTAGTACTGACGAGAGATTGTATTCGGTTTTGAATTTGTATTTGCTTTAGTGGCTTCACTTTCGTGTTTGGCGCGCTCCGTCTGCCTATAGTTTGTAATCTGAGATTCTAAGCATATTACTTACTTTTTTAATTAAGTCTTTTTCATCAAGAGAAACATTTGATAATTCTATGTCCAAGTATGTTTTGAAACTCTTTATTTTAGATTCCAAATCTAGTACCTCTTTTCTTACTTCATTAATATCTGAAAAATAAATTACAATCTATTACTTTATTTAAAGGTTTGAATGATAATATTCGACATAAAATTCTCTATAAAAGAAGTAGCTTGTCGGAAAGGACACATTATTACCCAAGTGTAGGGAATTGATTTATTACAGCAACACCGAGACTACCTATTACCTTGGTTCAAAAATGCAAATTATCTACCAGTGAACGTTATGTACGCACTTATCTGTACCTACTCAGAGCCTTAAACAATTACCAAAAAAAACTATACTGAACAGTTTCCCCGTTTTAAAAACAAGTTAGTCAAAACACTTTGTAAGCTAAAACGCTTACCGCGAAAAGCCAAAAGAAATAAGAAAAAAAAAGATATAGATATATATGTCTGTGGAAAAAAATTTATTTCCTCAAATTCAAAAGCAATGTTCCAATTATATTGATCACAGTAATCTGTGAAGATCACATTTGATTCGCTCTGGACCTTTTGGAGGGAAAAGTGTCGTTTTTATTTTGACTTTCAATTATTTTGTGCAATCTAGTTGAAAGTGGAATAGGATAGTGCTATTGTGCCTTAATCGAAGATTAAAACGCGAAATTATACGAATCTCGAACTAAAATACCCGTATCGGCCCGTTTTAAGGAATCCCGAGTCAATCCAAGCACGCCGCCCGCCTCAAATTGCCTATCCTCTTTGTGGCGGCCATATTTACAGGAACATAATTAAACTTCATGTTTAGGCTGATGGCTTTGCCAATGCCTTAATAAAAAAAAAATTAAAAAAAAAGATCACGTTTTTTTTATTATTAAGAGTTTTGGCTTGGAATCAAGTCCTTTTTAACAAAGACATGGTCGTTTAATTATCGAGATACTCAGTAATATTATTCATAGTAGTTCTAATAGGTACATTATGTTTTCAATTTCTCTCAAGTAACTTAGTTCACCTATTTGGGTTTATTAAATAGACTTTTAAGAGGCGGGAGTCAATATTAATGTTTTACTTTCATTTTAATCACATTATCTTCTATTACTTTGATTAATAACTTTGAATTCGTTATTAGTGGAATTTTAGGATAGTTTTTTGTAATTTGGTTCAAGTTAAAGAATGTAGTTCTAACTTTCTTCATCACTATTTCTTTCTTCATTTTTTCGTCATAATATCACTTGTGTTCAACATGTTCAACGTCGTTTTGCGCGACGATTTTGCCAATGTCAGGGTTGAAAGACATGTGGAGCGGTGGTGAGATAGATTGCCGGTTATTAAAATACTTCGGCGGTTTTTATTCACAATTTAATGTCATTACAAAAATATAATTTGAGAGCTCATGTTATTTTCTTTGTTTTAGAAACATTGTAGGAAGTTTTATTTAGCGGGAAATAAAAAATAAAATCGTTTAGTAAAACAAAGTTAGGCATCGTTTTCGTTCAGTAACAAACTTTTGACCGGTGTCAGCGTGGAAAATTATCATGGAGGATGGAGAAAGAAATAAAATTATACGAAAGATAATGGGAGAATACGGGAAGAATGAAGAATATTCATTTTTCTTAAAAATTAAGACTGATCAGAAATGGGAATTTTTTTTCGAATCACATTGTTGGGACAGAAAATTATGAAACGAATGTGGTCGAGCAGAGGCTATTCGGGGCTGGTTACAGATTTATGTTATTAAGTTTTAGAAATTTGTATAAAGTGAATACTAGTGGAGAGTGTGCGTTGGCTAGGAAATAGTTGATATTTATTGGGCGAGGAATATTTCGGGAAGCAAATCGTAAAGTGGGAAGCTTATTAGGGGTCAGTTAAAAAATAGGTGTTCTAGAGTGCCTTCCTCTAGTCCACATTCGCAGAGGGAGTGATCACGTACTTTAATTTTGGCTAGGTGAGCTCTCGAAACTCGACTGTGAACATCAACTAATATTAATTAAGAGATTGCTCAAACTAACTCGGTTCGATATTTCTCTCCGTGTAGTTCATATATCTGTCCTGTTTTACAGAATAAATAAAATAAAAATCATGTCAATCGGTCGCTCCGTTTCGAAATGAAAGAAGACACAAACTAATAAAAAGGCAACAGACACAGTTTCGCATTTTAATAGTTATAAGTATTCCTAAATAGGTAATTTTCGTTTCGATAATACACCGCAGGCCATCATGTTTTATCAAGTTTTTAACGATTTGTGCATTCCTGTATCAATCGGCTGGTTCATAGAATACTTGTTCTTACTTCTTGAGCATGATTGAGCGTCGAATGAGATAAACGAGTTTATGCATGTTTGTCTTATTTCTGTCGTTGCGTGCTACTTATGCAATCCTATATAAACAACGTAATATTTATTTTATTTTAATTTGCGGTTTTGCGCGTAATAGATAAACAGTACTTAAGTTTAACTCTTACTTACGTATTTCTCAAAACAAATTGAGATTGAAAAAAATTCCACAAACCCATCGTCGCCTTTGTGCCTTTGTGCCTTTTATGTCTCAAAATATTTTCGAATGAAGCAATGAAGCCTTCAAGACTACATCGGAGAAGAGTTAATTTTCCCAGCAATAAAGGAAGTAATAACTACTGTGCTTCATAAACCGGCCGCAGATATTATCCGAAAAATTCCTTTGAGTAATAATTCTGTGCAAAGACGAATTGATGAAATGGCTGAAAACATTGGAGAATCATTTTGCAATCATCTGAGGACTAGTCAATTCTCAATTCAGCTCGATGAGTCCACTTTAGCAACTAATGAAGCATTGTTGCTGTCTTACGTGAGGTTTATTAAAGATGAGAAAATATGTAAAGAACTATTGTTTGCTAGAAATTTAGAGACCGACACAAAAGGCGAAACCACATTCAATATATTGGAAAAGTTTTGTGATGAGAAAAAATCCCCTTGAAAAATATTATGTCAGTTGCTACGGATGGCGCTCCGGCTATGACAGGGTGCCATAAAGGCTTCATAGCGTTCTTTAAAAAAATGTTCCAGTTGTACATTGCGTTGTTCACAGACAATATTTGGTTGCTAGAAATTTAAGTGAACGACTATTTCAATCACTGCAATATGTCATCAAAGCAGTCAATAAAATCCGTAACAGCTCTTTGAATGATAGATTATTTCATCAGCTTTGTGTTACTAATGACGAAGATTTGAACAGTTTGTTGTTTCATACTGAAGTTCGTTGGCTATCAAGAGACAATTTTCTGACTCGATTTTCCAACCTTTTTGACTCTGTGATAGAGTTCTTGGAAACTAAAGATACAGAATTGCGCAACAAGCTCATTACATCAAAGAATGATATAGCTTACATGACAGACCTGTATAAATTGTTCAACGACATGAATATCCAACTGCAAGGCGATGGAAGTAAACTTAATTGAAACAAAAAATGTCGTTGCTGCTTTCGCGGCCAAACTGCTTCTACATAAAAAGAATATGGGCAGACGTGAGTTTCACAATTTTTCGATTTTATCAGTATCCTGCAGTAACGACGACCTGTTTGCCTATTGCCAACATTTGGGAAACCTCCACATTAACTTCACCGAACGATACCAGGACATTTTGAACTTGGAAATACCAGACTGGGTGTTGGATCCGGTTTCAAATGTCAATACAGCAATATCACCTCAGCTGGAAGGAGAAATTATAGAATTGACAACGAACGAAGAAATAAAAATCTAGTTCAAAAATGGCTACCAAGAATTTTGGCTACAAAAACCGATTCCGCAATTGTACCCTGAATAGTGGTCAATAGTCTGCAATCGTTCAACGATTCTTGATAGCATTCCCATCGTCATATTTGTGTGAATGTTGTTTTAGTGCTGTGACAACGCTGCTTACTAAAAACAGAAATCGTTTGCATGTTACTGAACGTGGTGAGTTGCGGCTGTTCTTGAGTAAATTGGAACCTGATATCAACAAACTTATTAAACAGCATCAGATTCATCCTTCACATTAGTTTTTATATTAGAATCGATTATGTTTGTTTTATTTTGAATACAAGATACTCTGTCTGAATACTATAAAGTTGCGTTTCAATACTCATTCTCATTGACAGGTGTAGCCCGTAATAGTTAACTTGAGACTTGAGACTGAGCGCCGTTGTGTACTACCTACTGTGCTCAGGTCTCAAGGTAACTCTTGCGGGTTATAGTAAAAGTCTCGTTTAGAATGAATGTTTAATCTCCGCTAATATAGCTCACAATAGTTAATTTAATTTGAAGTTATAGTGGTTTTTAAGTAGGTGAAGAAATGGGGGCGGAAAAAAAAAATTCATTCTCAAAGTGGGCAGTAGACAAAATAAGTTTGGGAGCCCCTGCTCTAGTGCATAAAATAAAAAAACCATCACATTAAATATGTCTTAGCGCCCAGTTACACGAGGAGAAAGTTTTCGCGCGGCGACCTCGCGGTAGATTTCTTCAGAGGAATTTTAATGTTGTTGCCTAGTAAATAGAATTCAGATTTAAATTCCTCTGAAGAAATCTACGGTAGATTTATAGAGCGCCGGAATTTAAATGTTGTGGGCTAGTAAATAGAATTCAGATTCGGCATTAATGTACGTATATGAAGGCTTGGTAACTGAGCGGTCGTCGCGCGGCGGCCGCGCGGGGTGAGCGCGATGAAAAACGTGTCGAATAAATGCGCCCTAATTGTTGTAATTTTACATTCAATTTGAATTAAATAATCGTTTATTTGTAATATTGCTGTTTAATTTACTCGCAATCGAAATGAAAAGCAGAGTGCATAACTCGTTCATAAAACCCATTTTACCCTCGACTTAAGTATCCACTCTCGCCTGCTACTCGGATGGACATACTCGTCTCGGGAAACATGACGCGTTTTATGCATTTGTTGTACAATCTACTATTGTAAAAACTGTACTCGTAACTTCAAAAACCCGCCATTTGTTTTCATAACATTTATTTATTTATTCAGTATCAAAAGAGCCGTTGAGTATGCAAAAGAGTATTAATATCAACGATATCTATTTATGTAATAGATTAACATGTCATATTTAAATATAACTCACCAACGATATCCATATTGCTTTGAGAATTTATATGAAATTTAATGTCCACAAATAGTTTCTTCATTTCAGTTACAGAATCTTTTAAATTTCTGAAGAAGCTTTGTGAATAAAACCCATGACAACAAACATTATCGTCCTGGAAATCCTGGGAAGTTTTTTGAATACTTCTGAAGATAACATTTTCCTCAATTTTCAGTCGTCGAAGTTTTACGGAAATGTTTGTAGTATCAAAAGAATCTTTAGAAACTTGGGAATTATTTGCACTATTCATGTTAATGAAAAACTTGATACTGTTTCACTTTCATTTCATTCTACTTTTACAAGTAGCAAAAACTCGTAAATGATTATCGATCAAACAAGTCATCAGTCGTTTTGAATTTGAAACCCCATGGTCGATAGCTAGCGCCACTAGTCATTTCCGGTTATGTATGGTCATGTCGTCATGTCTCAAATATAGAGTGTATGATCTATGGTTATGTCATAGGTTGGTTTTCGTTTTCACCTTAGACTATGGAAACTATTTTTTTTTCCATCCTCTAAGGTCTTCACCTTTTTTATCAATCCTCTATAATTATCAAGCGCAAGAACACAAACAAACTGTGTATACTCTACTTTAGTGGCTTGTGCTCTACTGGCTGACTTTATGATACCGATTTTGTATCTATATAAATCTTATATGAAAAAAAAATAAAGGAAATATTAAATGTACCTAAATCATTGACGTCATTACGTCATTGACCTAAATGTATTTTAATGGGCAACTCTACCAATTTCCTATTTTGACAAGTCTGGTACATACAATCACAAAAGTCTGGTATCATTACAAGAAAAAAGTAATCGAAGAGAATGGATGAACTGGAGCTATAGGTTCTGATTTTACTTAAATTTCTTGATATAGTGTCTATAAAAAATTAAATAAGCAATATGTTTACGCGTTCTCGGCTGTTTTTGTCCAAGGCGCTACCTTTCAGAGTGAGTTTAAAACGTAATTCAAATGTAAGTTCGGTGTCCGAGAACATAACCTTAAGTTTCATATAATTATGTCGTTTTCAGAGCCTTTTGAAGCAGGAACATCAAAATGAGACTCGTTTTGTGTACAATGTTAGTCCGGCAAGGAATCGTTCAACGAGTCCTATTAATACGGTTATAATGTTCGTTCCACAACAAGAGGTAAAACTTGTCCGTTTTTAAGGTTCACTATTTAAAATTCTTTAAATTTGCCTTGCACTATTTTATATTATATTATAGCGCATTGCTATAATATAATATCGTAGTAAAATGCATGAAACCAAAATAGACACGCCAGTTTGTATGAACAAAATTATGTTTTGAAAATTGAAGTTAAAAAGTATATTTAAATGATAAGTAAAAAGTTTGCATACTTTTAAGCAATGGCAATGTGTATTGAATTAGTTTGTGGTGCTAAGATAAACTTACAATTCTGTATTACATGATTTACATTGTGTTGGTTTGCAATATTAAAATAAATAAATAAATAAAAATATCTTGAAAGAACTTGTTTGCGTTTTGTGTGTAGTTGTGAATTGAAACTTCATATTGCAGGCATGGATTGTGGAACGTATGGGTAAATTTCACAGAATACTTGATCCAGGGTTGAACCTCCTTTGGCCTATCTTGGATAAAATCAAATATGTCCAAAGTCTGAAGGAAATTGCCATTGATGTACCTAAGCAGAGTGCCATCACTTCGGACAATGTCACTTTGAGTATTGATGGTGTGCTGTATCTCCGTATTATAGATCCTTATTTAGGTATACATATATTTCTTATTGTGCTCTTACTTTGATGATGCAATCGTGTTCTGCTTTTGTTTTAATTGTGGTGAAATAGAGGGTATTATTTTAAAATTTTCTTAAACTTATAGGATAGATAGTGGTCATTTGTGTATTTTGATTTTATTTATTTTATATTATTAAACAAAATTGTGCACATTTGACTTCCATCGCACCTGAGGGAAAGTATATACATGTGAGAATGCAAAACATGTTATTTATTGAAATTATGCTATAAAGAAGTAAAAATTGTATGCTTTAAGTGCTATAGAAAGTAACTGCATTTATTAAAATTGAAATTTTTCACAAAATTGCCTGGAACTCCTTGACATTAACTTTATAAACAAGAGAATAGAAGAATTTAAATTTTAGAAGAACTATAGAATTACATGTTTCAAATTTGATTGTTTTCAATTATAATATTTTTTATCCTATTTCTAGCTTCTTATGGTGTCGAAGACCCTGAATTTGCCATCACTCAGTTGGCACAAACTACAATGAGATCTGAAATTGGTCAAATATCTCTGGACAAAGTGTTCAGGGAGAGAGAATCACTCAATGTGTCCATGGTAGAGGCAATCAATAAAGCCAGTGAAGCCTGGGGGATTACTTGCTTACGATATGAAATCCGTAAGTTGTATCTTATATTAATGTTATCAAACTATAATACGTAGGTGACTACTAGAAATAGTCGTTTCCATTGTCAATATGTGACAAAATAAAAGAAAACAACAGCAATTGCATTACAAAATAATAAAAAAAATTGCAAAATTATATTCGTAATAATAGCACTAACTATAGTAAAATTGTTTTTAAAAAGTTGTAAAATACTGTACTGTATCTCCAATGTTCCTAATATGACCACTGTTGTATAAATTTTATGTTATATAATAATAATAATTCATTTATTTGTGGAAACACAGGTTATATAGAAGCTGACATATACAAAATACATATAGTTTCACTGTGTCCGGCCAAACAGTAGGCATACAAATGTTGAATACATTCACTCACATGCACTTCGACAGACTAAACCAGGTGTAACATGTTTCGTTTTTCAATAATATTTCATGAGCGTGCATGGATTTAATAAGTCGGTCAGAATTTAACGCGATGATAGTTACATGGGTCGATTTTAATGGTAATTAGATATCAAAATAATATCGTAACATAAATAACGTCAATAACATCCAATGTCAAAAATTAGACAATGAATTTAGGGATTTATCATTTAAAAATTCAGACACTGTATTATAGTATATTTTATTAGTCAGTAATTTGTTTAATTGTTTTATAGCATACGGTTTTTCTCAGACCTTAGTGCTTCCGGTAAATTGTTGTACATTTTTGACACCATTACAAAAATACTTTTCTGCATGAAGGTAGTTTTACAGGCTTTCAAACGAAGTTGGTCATATCGTCTTAACTTTAGAGTTTGTGTGAACAAGTGTGAGTGCATTCGGACATACACGACAGTTTCGTAGATATAAAGTGAAGGAACAGTCAGTAGTTGAAGATCTTTAAAATATGGTTTGCAGCTATCTGTTCTCTTCAAACGACAAATTAAACATAAAAGTACATAACAAACACATATATTCATATTTTTAAGAAGTTATCTCAATTCTACTTATTTTTGCAGGTGATATAAAGCTGCCATCTCGCGTGCATGAAGCTATGCAGATGCAAGTAGAAGCCGAGCGGCGGAAACGCGCTGCCATCTTAGAGTCTGAGGGTGTACGAGCAGCAGATATTAATGTAGCTGAGGGCAAGCGACAAGCTAGGATATTGGCTTCAGGTATATTTTTACTATTTATAGCCATAAAAGACATACAGACTAGTGTTGTAAAATTTCCTTGTAGAGGCATACTATATAATATATGTGCTACTAATTACACTTTTTATCTTTTGTTTGAGGATAAGGGCCCAAATTTTAAAATTTCAATTGTTGAATGAACATTGATGTCACTGGAAATTAAAATAGATGATACTTTAAAAAACATTATTGTTAACTGCTTACATATAGGGATTACAATATCCCTTTTACAATAGCAATTTTATTCCCTAGAGGCCGAAAAGCAGGAACAAATAAACAAGGCAGCTGGTGAAGCGCAGGCCATGCTTGCAGTGGCAGATGCGCGGGCACGGGGACTGAAACTTATCGGCAATGCACTCTCGGCACGAGTAAGCGAACCATATTTATTATTAGTAAATGAATATATATATAAGCAAGCTCTATTACATTAATACAAGGTGACACTAAAGTTATGTCATATATGAATTACGTACCATTTTGTTAGAAATGAAAAAAATTAGGTCTGTTTTCACGAAAAGTTTATTTGAAGATGTAAAATTGATGACATTAAGTTGAAAAAAATTATATCGGTCAAATGGCCACCTCCCGAGTTGATGCACATTTGTACTCGGTTTACGACATTTTGAATTGTTGCTCGCAATATCTAGTCCCAAATTGGCGATTTCTTTGTTAGTGTTAGCTTTCAAGACTTGCAAGGTTCATGGGAAGATTACTGTAACGAAAGTATGCCTAAACAAACACAAGTCTTACTAATTTAATCTTGAGTGGTATATTATTATTAAACCGAATGATGACAAGATAAGGCAAATAGGCTGTCTATACGTTGGTATTGGCCTTTACCCGGCAACGTTGGACTAACACGTCATTGTATTGCAGGCTTTAAAAAAATAGTCATTTTTAATAGTTAGAGTTGTCATTGGGAAAAATCTGAAACGAGTGGATAATTTTGTTTTCGGGAACTGAGAACAACTAGTAAATGAGTCTTGTTTAATCTTGTTAAATGAGTTATGTTTTACATAAAATCACAAAAACATAAAACATAAAAAATCTGTTTGAACATAAAATTATTTACCAATAAACCTAATGATGGAATAGCGTTGTCATGTAATCTAGTTACATTCAAAGTTCTGTTAAAATTTGACTCTTCAAAATGAAGCGAACAAATGACGATGGTCTTTGATCCAACGTTTATATTCGGTAGTCCTATGATTTCCAACCTTTCTTTCTTCCTTTTTTAATTTGTAGGAAAACTTGAAATAATAATAATAATAAAACAAAAGAAACCTCGTAGTGAATTGTTTTAATAACAGAATATCGATAATATGTATGCTTACAAGATCAACACTATCTCAAAATAATCGTTAACAACAATCATCAAAATATACAAACAAACAGGCAATCTAAAGTAACAAAAGCAAAATTTGGCAAGATTTATAAATAAACTACTTAAATAAGTGTGATTAATATTGTGTGATTTATAGATAAAAAAATAACACATGCCTGTGCAATGTAACATTCGATTGATTTGCACTTTTTCTAAAGCCACATCCCTTAATGCTTCAGCGTCGCATTTTTATTAATACCTGATTATTCTCACTGTCAATATTTTTGTCCAATTTAATTATAATACATGCGAATAATTCAATAGTATATTTGGAAAAACATTTGTTTTGACATTTGATGTACTTCCCTTTGACAACGGTATCATGTACTTCATGTACTGCGAAATCGACATGGTTGGTATTTAAGATGACGTTACGTATTTTCGATTCCCGTGTTTGACACAGACCAATGTAATGCTATCTCTTTTGGCTTAAGACGGCACGTAATAGTTAAACAAAGACAATAACATGTTTATGTTTTCGACGTCGAAATGCATCATGTACATGTAACGTCTGATTTATATATGTCAACGTAACATGTCCTTTAGTTTCCATAGTCTTAAGATTAAAGCACATTCACATTATGACATTACTTTCGCGCCACCCGTTCTAAAGGAACTCGGCTGAATTTGATGAATTGACAACATTTTCTGTCAAATAGAGTAATTTTTTAACACCATTTAAACTGACGCCGATTAAGCACACATGTCACGGTCATAAATAAATGAGTTTGATTATAACATCTTTAATTTATTCTTAAAGCTAAATTTTTCACCTTAGGACAGCAAGTACGCGGCGTCATTAACATTGGCTGAGCAGTACGTTTCGGCATTTAACAAGTTGGCTCGGACAAACAACACACTAATACTGCCAGCTAATGCGGGAGACGTGTCCAACTTAGTTGCACAGGTAAAGTAATAAAAATAAAATCTGTTTCGTATGTACAAAAATTGAATTTAAATAAGAAAATCTTATGTAATTTGAAATATTATTATAGTAAAATAATTAGGTTGTCACTTATTCGTACTGCTTTAATTAGTATTGCAAAAGCGTATATCATTCTTTTCTGAAAATGCCCGTGTCAAAATTAAAGTTATTATGTTATAACAAATGTTTTGCTTCCAGGCCATGTCGATTTATACAACGGTATCACAGCAAAATTTACAGGGTAGGGATAGTCAGGCCCAAGTTGACATCTCAGACCCACAGATTGAAGATCCTCTAGTCAATGTCAGCCAACTCACAGAGAGAGGCACCACATTGGCAGGCCAGCCCGTTCCAAGTGAAGACGACAGCTTAGCAGAATATTTCTCAGATGATGAAGAAAGACAAAAGGCTCTACAGCAAAAGAAAGAGAAAGAACAGCATTTACAGCATAAGCTAGAATGAGAAACATAGAACTGATAAGAAGTATTGTTGTTAAATAAAATAATTTAATTTAATGCATTTTGTTTTTATGTACGATTAATAAATCATTGCTAAGCGTTATCATTTGAAACGTTATCATTGAAAAAAAAAAAAAATGTTTCATAGGCACTTTATTGGCTTTTATGTTATACAATATAGTATATTTTGTTATACATATCTAAAAAAAAAACAATAGTTTACGTAATTAAATAGTGGTGCCAATCATTGTCATTGCTTTGTGTGCACGTGATCATAGATCGTAACCGTGTACAAATTTCGTGTAAAGATAGAAAGAGGATTGCGATAACGTCATTGGGTAGTGTGATTGCAATGAACAGCTAGTGTGTGCTACCAACAAGCTTGTTGATAGGTCAATATTTACATTGATGTACAGGTACATAATATATCGTCATTTCCGTGATTTTTGTTCAGGCCATGCTCAATAGATGGCGATTACTAAATTTCAAACTAAACTCGTGCTCGTGGAATGTCACATAATTTTTCTTCTTTTACACTTCAAATGTAAAATTAACACACTGTAGTGATCTAGGAGCCTTCTGCAGATTCTGCTATCAATAGTATTGTGGGAGTATCACGTGAGAAACTACAAGCTTTTGTATTAGATTTTGAATTTTGATGATGCAGAACTCTTATCTTGAAAGAGACATAAATACAACAAGTGTTAATGTCCTATGTAAGACGCCCTCAAATTACAATCTTAATGCTAGTTAAGTAATCACAAAGAACAATAATAAAAAGGGGATTAACATTATTTAAAGTTGATTCAAAATTTGTGGTTTGGGAATGAACAGTGAAGGATATCACATACCAAGAAAAAATACTTGGTGTTGTTGAAGAAAATCTGATCTGTGGTCCCTTCTCACCCGCAGTCACAAAGCAAGTTGTCCCTTACCGTAATTTTGGCTAGATGTACTGGGGTACTCGAGTGACCCCGCCTTAATCGGCGTATGCTGACGGCGTAGGGTATTGATGCTTTATTAATTATTATATTTAAAGAACACAAGGTTTATTGCCGACAGCGTTTTGGAAGTCTGCGTGTTACAATCATATTAAACTGTCGTCGGTAGCTGTCACTCAATCTTTCTCATGATAACACCTTATATTATGACTACACACACACACATGTATCACATTTTTCCAAACTAATTATATTTACGCGTGTAGTACATACCTATACAAATTATACATGTTTCTAAATCTATTGTTTAACAATATAATCGACAACACTTTATTTTCTTATCTACCACTTTATTGTTATGATTTTTTAAAAGTATTTATTATTATAAATATTATACTCTATACATATATAATAATTTTGTTCCAAATGTTAAATACTATTCTAAGGCAAAATAAGAATATATCAACTCCACCCTGTAATTTTCTAATATCAAATCTTATAATATTGTTATAAACTACTTAAATCGTCTGCTGCATTAGACATATCGATTCAATAAGTCAATATCACGACCATTTCTAACTCATAACCGCGTCCACCGGTTTGTGGGCCCAAAGCGGGTTTGACAAATCCCGTTCTTCTTTTCTTTCTTTAAGTGTGAACACAGGACACAGCATTAAATGCATATCGTGAAAGAATAACATAATATTGAGCCATTAAACTAGCGCTAGCCTCGATATTCGACATCATTGTCTACAGTCAGAATTCCAGACCATTGGTCCTAGAGGTTTAGTTACGTGTTATTGGTACTTTTGTCTGTTATTGCCTTTATAGTTGTTATAGTATTGCTTTTATAGGGTATAACACAGGTGTGATCATATTTTAGGGCTATTAACGACGACAAATTTTAACGAATGTTGGATACCGATTGCTAATATAAAATTATAGTTTTGCTGTTTGCAATCATAAGCACGATCACCGGCTGAAATATTTTATATAGCCCTTTTGTAACACCTTTTATAAGAACAATAAATATAGATAAAGTCAATTATAATTATATTATTGCAAAATTATAATCAAGTTGTTCAAGAAATCTTGACGAACTTCTCTTGTTGATTGAAATAACTGACAGTTCCTTCTTCAGGCTGGTTGTTCGACGGAGCAGGAGTTTTGTGAAGACTGGTGTAGGATGGAGATTGTTCAGTACCGTCAAATTGACGTAGATGAATCTATAAAAGAAATCACAATTAATTGTTTCTGTACAGGCTACAACATGTTTCTATTTACCTCAGAAGTAGAAAATGTATGTATTTTATATATTTTTTTTAATTATAAAATATAAGTGCGCATTTGACCTCCATCTCAACTGATGAAAAGTGACGATGAGCATGCACACCTAAATAATGCCTATTCACTCTCGCCTTGAAAACGCCCAAGTTATAACGTTCAGGGGACAAGTCTGCAGGCAGGGAATTCCACTCCATAGCCGTTCGCCATATACATAAATGTGGAAACGTAACGCTTCGTGCGAATCTTTGGACTATCCACAACATAGGTGATGGGAAGGGAAAGGTAAAAGGAAATTAAATCGTGCAATTCCATCGCACACTCTCCATGATATATCCTGTAAAATACCGATAAGCAGGCAACTTTGTTCTCCGGGCGGCGTCGTGGTGAATGTTCACTGATCCCACGGCGCCGACTCAACCGGCGAGAGGGAAACCCGGGGCGGTTTTAGTGGGGTAGGCCCTCCAGTCTGGAGGGAGAGTCCCCACATAACCCCTGAGTCTCCCTGGGCTCAGGGGTATCCATAAAGATTTCCCCCCCGTAAAAAAAAAAAAAAAAAGGCAACTTTGTTCAAGGCTTTGCAGCTTCGCCTCCACTTATTCCGAGTCACCTATAACCCTCTTGGCACGATTGTCAATTGAATCTAAAGTGGCCAGTTGATATGTAGCATAGCCATCCCAAAGGTGGCAGCAGTACTCCATGCACGACCGGACTTGTGCTTGGTACAGCTGAAGTAACTGCCCCGATGTAAAGTAACGCCTCACTCTGGAAAGAATGCCAAGCTTCCTTGCTTCATTTTTGGCCATGGATTCAATGTATATGTTCAAATTGGACGACAGGTCCATTCCAAGAAGGTGGAGACAGTTGGCTATGGGTATGCATACATTACGAAAAGTCGGAGTCGGCTCAAAGGGACTCCGTTTTGTGGAGAATAGACACGATTGCGTTTTTGACAAAATTTGAAAAGATTGGCATCGCCCCAATCGGAGACTGCCTGGAGTGTCAAATCCAAACGGCTAACCATGGACTCTCGACAAGACTGGATTTCCTTTCCACTGACCCTTGCATTGGTCAAGTGCCTATCTACAACTGTGCTGTTATGAGCATACGCAAAGGTACCTGGAATTAACATATCATTGATATGCAGCAGAAAGAGAGTTGCAGACAGTATGTATCGCCATATGTTCGGAAGAGTAGCCTTCTAAGACCACTCGAATGGAACGTTCACTCAAGAAATCCGAGATCCAATTGCAAAGGTCACTGGGAAGCCCATATGAGGGTACCTTACTTAAAAGGTTTGCGTGCCAGACTCTGACCCTTTAGAAATGACCAAAGACACTGCAAGTGCATCGCCTTGCTTTTCTATAGCCTCGCTCCATACGTGACAAGAAGATCCCCAGTAGATCGCCCTCGTCGCAATCAGTACTGGCGATCACTGAGGAGGTCGTTGTCTTCAAGGTACGACAGGAGACGGTTGTTGAGTACACGTTCCATAGTCTTGCAGAGTACGGAAGTGACTGAGAAAGGTCTATAGTTGCCAGGGTCAGCTCTGCTTTTCTTTTTCGGCACAGGTTGCACGTTTGCAAGCTTCCACGACCTAGGAACCACACCAGTCTCAAGTGAGAGACGGTACAAGCGTGTGAGAACAGGAGACATCTCAGGCGCACAATTACGCAGGACTATTGCTGGAATTGTATCTGGCCCGCTAGCTTTATTCACGTCTAGATTTCGCAGAGTTCCTCTTTTTGGCGTATGCGAACTGGCGCCATAGTGCAGCCAGCCTGAGGTAATAGGTGGTCCCTGCGGCACACAGTGGGCCCAAATTGATAATTCTTGGACATAGGAATAACTTGTGGAGTATCGAGCTAATTTTTTTTTATGTGATAGATAAAAACATTCCTAAAAACTTTTATTCTTGTATAATTTCTTGAAAAGTTGATAGTTTCGGAGAAAAAAAAAATATTTGTATGGAGAAAAACATAATCCGTCTGCATGTATTTGCGGCTTTGTAAGTAAAGGTGCGGCAAAATTGCTAACTTTTTTATGTACTTTTTTAACAAAATACATGTGTTACGAATAAAGAAAAATTAGTTTTAGTGTAATTTAGAGAATGTTATAACAATAACACGAAAGTTAAGTAGAAAGTACTATATTGTGTTAAAAAATAAATAACAAATCTAAAATTATGCCATCTCGTAAAGCCGCAAGTACCTGCAGATGGATTATTTTTTTCTTGATAGAGAATGATTGGACCTATACTGTAAATAAACCACACACGTTACATTTTCGCATAATTTTGAGATGATAAATAAAATATATATTTCTCCATACACAAAAAAAAATATTTTTTTTCACCAATACTATCAACTTTTCAAGAAATTATACAATAATAAAAGTTGTTAGGAATGTTATTATCTATCACATAAAAAAAATTTGCTCGATAATCCACAAGTTATTCCTATGTCTAAGGAATAATGTCCAAGAATTATCAATTTGGGCCCACTGTGCGGCATCCAGACGCGAACTCTCTGCAGAGAGTGAGGCAAATAGATTCGCCTTCTCTTCCGCAGTATGAGCCAGCGAGCCATCCAGCCTTAGCACAGGTGGCAAAGATGGGCGACAAAAGTTAGATTCGATCGCTTTGGCCAGAGATCAAAAGGATTTGTTGCCTGCTGGATAAGAGGCAAGCTTGGCCCCTATGGGGCGCACATGGTCGAACTTGGCCCTACGTAACACACTTTTGCACTTCTTGGCGGCCTTATTAAAAGCTTTCTTCAAATTCTGAGTACTCGCAGCTTTGCATTGTCGAGCATCTGCCCAAGTTTGGCACGCGGACTGTTTACGTGCTTCAGCACAGCTACAATCGGGGTCCATTGGGTACATCAGAGTATGGTATGTAATACTCCATACCCAAACGCAAAACCTCGACTACAGCATTAGCACAGCTCGACGAGTTTCCTGAACTAAAGCACACCTGGCAAGGGTATGACGCAAAGAAATTGCGCATTTTATCCCAATCTGCTAACTTGAAGCGCCACACCCGTGTCATGCCACTAGGGCCCTGATCGAGTGGGGAGTATACGGATACAGTTTCCACCTAGTAGGGTTTCCACGACCACAGAGTAGCAGTCTGGATCAGTTGTGAACAGAAGGTCCTGGTCTGGTATAGGAACAAATATTCTTGATGGTGAGCATTAAAGTCCCCCAGAATGACTAGTTGCGCCGCTGGGTAGCTGAGTCTCATCAGACGTCTCCCTCAGACGTTGGAACAGCTTGGTCGTCTCCCGATCTCCACTGTGCGAGCGGTAGACACAGCAGTACACTGTTTGTGTAACTCCTGTGTCAAACAGAAAAACTCGGTGCCTCAAAATTCTTGATACGCTTGACACCTATGTAATCGCGAACACACAAACTACGGCACGAGGTACGAACCTGTGCTCCAGAGTATACCCGGGGTAGCTGAGGTACGCTGTGTCAGTCGGACATCTGATCTGCGTCATGTGAGGAACAGTAGCTGCGGTTTGTCGGTTTCAAGGTGGTAGTGGACTGAATCGAGATTTGATTGCAGATCTCAGATGTTAGTTTCCTTTCTTATGACTTGTCATGCTGTTTTGAGAAATGAATAGGCAGGAGGAAGGCAGTGAATGAGGCACTACGTCGTGTTCAACCAAGCAGCATGCTCACTGTGCCACACGAGGGTACAATCGGTTTGGAGACCGCGGGGACGCCCGAAACCCCCCCGGAGATGGTCACCTGGTCCTCCCTTCTGGTCCCCAACCGGCAAGGCGGAGCATTCCGGGATTTTTCGTTGGGTGGCGAGGCAGCCATTCACGGGTGGCTTTTCCGCTACTTGAGCCCCCAACTTCCCATGGACAGTCAGCGATGCACCGTGCTTCAGATCCCGCTAGCCCCCAGACCCGAGTGCTCAGTGTGGCAGTACAAGCAGCTACAACTCGTTGTCAGACGCAATGCAACTGTTCAGACCCGACCTCCTAATAGCAACTCTCGAACACGAGTCGGAACACGGTAAAAACCACTTGGTGACTCAACTGGGTCGGGAGGGTGGTGACTAGCCACGGCCGAAGCCTACCACCAGTAGTTGTTGCTCTTTAGCACCACCCACTTGTAGGGTCTCGAGGGTAAACCTACGGAAGCGAGCAACGTCAACCCCCAAACTATTTGTATCATCTTAATAATTTATATCATATCAGCCGGAAGACGTCCACTGCTGAACATAGGTCTCCCCAAAGATTACCAGACTAGCCGGTCGGACGCAACGTGCATCCATCGGTTAACCGCCGCCCTTACCAGGTCATCCATCCATCTAGTAGGCGGCCGTACCAGTTTCTTTTATGGCACTCAAAGGGACTCAAATGCACTCAAAGGCTCTCAAAGGCACTAAAGGTACTCAGGACATCAAAGGCATTCAAAAGCACTCAAAAACACTTAAACGCCGTCAAAGGCAATTAAAGGCACTCAAGACACTCAAACGCACTCAAAGGGACTCAAAGACACTCAAAGGCACTCGCATGCACCTAACTTAAGTAAAGACTTGAAAACATTTCCACATATCTGGTGGAGTCGCAGCCTTACAATTAGGGCACGCAAACCGATTACCGGGTTAACTGAAAAAACCGAATAACCATCCATTTTGTAAACCGGTTTTTAGCTAAGGAAAACCCGGGATTTTCGGTTTTGTCTTTAAACTAAAGGGTTTTTTGACAAGAACTTTGTTTTGTAAATCAAAATAAAACAATAAATTTAGATGACAATGATTCCATTTTTTTACTTTACTAAAAAAAGTAAGGTTTGGCAATTATGAATGAAAAATGATATCTGAAAAATGTCCACCACGACCACAGTTACAGATGTCGGTTCTTTCATCAATGTTTTTAATCACTTTTTGATAAAATTGTGCCATCGAAGCAATGAATTTATTGCA